CCGAGAACGGCGGCTATCGGCAGCCTGCCGCTGCCAGTATCGACCCTCAGGTCTAGATTTAGATAATGTGGCAAAATGTGTTGTTCGCGGCCGCCGCCAGCTCCGCCGGCACGATTCGAGCCGCGCACGCGACCGGCAATAGTTTGTAGGCACTGCATACATGAAGTAGAACGGCCAACACCGCCGAGAACGGCGGCTATCGGCAGCCTGCCGCTGCTAGTATCGACCCTCAGGTCTAGATCTAGATAATGTGGCAAAATGTGTTGTTCGCGGCCGCCGCCAGCTCCGCCGGCACGATTCGAGCCGCGCACGCGACCGGCATTAGTTTGTAGGCACTGCATACATGAAGTAGAACGGCCAACACCGCCGAGAACGGCGGCTATCGGCAGCCTGCCGCTGCCAGTATCGACCCTCAGGTCTAGATCTAGATAATGTGGCAAAATGTGTTGTTCGCGGCCGCCGCCAGCTCCGCCGGCACGATTCGAGCCGCGCACGCGACCGGCAATTGTTTGTAGGCACTGCATACGTAAAGTAGAACGGCCAACACCGCCGAGAACGGCGGCTATCGGCAGCCTGCCGCTGCCAGTATCGACCCTCAGGTCTAGATCTAGATAATGTGGCAAAATGTGTTGTTCGCGGCCGCCGCCAGCTCCGCCGGCACGATTCGAGACGCGCACGCGACCGGCATTAGTTTGTACGCACTGCATACATGAAGTAGAACGGCCAACACCGCCGAGAACGGCGGCTATCGGCAGCCTGCCGCTGCCAGTATCGACCCTCAGGTCTAGATCTAGATAATGTGGCAAAATGTGTTGTTCGCGGCCGCCGCCAGCTCCGCCGGCACGATTCGAGCCGCGCACGCGACCGGCAATTGTTTGTAGGCACTGCATACATGAAGTAGAACGGCCAACACCGCCGAGAACGGCGGCTATCGGCAGCCTGCCGCTGCCAGTATCGACCCTCAGGTCTAGATCTAGATAATGTGGCAAAATGTGTTGTTCGCGGCCGCCGCCAGCTCCGCCGGCACGATTCGAGCCGCGCACGCGACCGGCATTAGTTTGTAGGCACTGCATACATGAAGTAGAACGGCCAACACCGCCGAGAACGGCGGCTATCGGCAGCCTGCCGCTGCCAGTATCGACCCTCAGGTCTAGATCTAGATAATGTGGCAAAATGTGTTGTTCGCGGCCGCCGCCAGCTCCGCCGGCACGATTCGAGCCGCGCACGCGACCGGCAATTGTTTGTAGGCACTGCATACATGAAGTAGAACGGCCAACACCGCCGAGAACGGCGGCTATCGGCAGCCTGCCGCTGCCAGTATCGACCCTCAGGTCTAGATCTAGATAATGTGGCAAAATGTGTTGTTCGCGGCCGCCGCCAGCTCCGCCGGCACGATTCGAGCCGCGCACGCGACCGGCATTAGTTTGTAGGCACTGCATACATGAAGTTGAACGGCCAACACCGCCGAGAACGGCGGCTATCGGCAGCCTGCCGCTGCCAGTATCGACCCTCAGGTCTAGATTTTGAAAATGTGGCAAAATGTGTTGTTCGCGGCCGCCGCCAGCTCCGCCGGCACGATTCGAGCCGCGCACGCGACCGGCATTAGTTTGTAGGCACTGCATACATGAAGTTGAACGGCCAACACCGCCGAGAACGGCGGCTATCGGCAGCCTGCCGCTGCCAGTATCGACCCTCAGGTCTAGATCTAGATAATGTGGCAAAATGTGTTGTTCGCGGCCGCCGCCAGCTCCGCCGGCACGATTCGAGCCGCGCACGCGACCGGCAATTGTTTGTAGGCACTGCATACATGAAGTAGAACGGCCAACACCGCCGAGAACGGCGGCTATCGGCAGCCTGCCGCTGCCAGTATCGACCCTCAGGTCTAGATCTAGATAATGTGGCAAAATGTGTTGTTCGCGGCCGCCGCCAGCTCCGCCGGCACGATTCGAGCCGCGCACGCGACCGGCATTAGTATGTAGGCACTGCATACATGAAGTTGAACGGCCAACACCGCCGAGAACGGCGGCTATCGGCAGCCTGCCGCTGCTAGTATCGACCCTCAGGTCTAGATCTAGATAATGTGGCAAAATGTGTTGTTCGCGGCCGCCGCCAGCTCCGACGGCACGCTTCGAGCCGCGCACGCGACCGGCATTAGTTTGTAGGCACTGCATACATGAAGTTGAACGGCCAACACCGCCGAGAACGGCGGCTATCGGCAGCCTGCCGCTGCCAGTATCGACCCTCAGGTCTAGATTTTGAAAATGTGGCAAAATGTGTTGTTCGCGGCCGCCGCCAGCTCCGCCGGCACGATTCGAGCCGCGCACGCGACCGGCATTAGTTTGTAGGCACTGCATACATGAAGTTGAACGGCCAACACCGCCGAGAACGGCGGCTATCGGCAGCCTGCCGCTGCCAGTATCGACCCTCAGGTCTAGATCTAGATAATGTGGCAAAATGTGTTGTTCGCGGCCGCCGCCAGCTCCGCCGGCACGATTCGAGCCGCGCACGCGACCGGCAATTGTTTGTAGGCACTGCATACATGAAGTAGAACGGCCAACACCGCCGAGAACGGCGGCTATCGGCAGCCTGCCGCTGCCAGTATCGACCCTCAGGTCTAGATCTAGATAATGTGGCAAAATGTGTTGTTCGCGGCCGCCGCCAGCTCCGACGGCACGCTTCGAGCCGCGCACGCGACCGGCATTAGTTTGTAGGCACTGCATACATGAAGTAGAACGGCCAACACCGCCGAGAACGGCGGCTATCGGCAGCCTGCCGCTGCCAGTATCGACCCTCAGGTCTAGATTTTGAAAATGTGGCAAAATGTGTTGTTCGCGGCCGCCGCCAGCTCCGCCGGCACGATTCGAGCCGCGCACGCGACCGGCAATTGTTTGTAGGCACTGCATACATGAAGTTGAACGGCCAACACCGCCGAGAAGGGCGGCTATCGGCAGCCTGCCGCTGCCAGTATCGACCCTCAGGTCTAGATCTAGATAATGTGGCAAAATGTGTTGTTCGCGGCCGCCGCCAGCTCCGACGGCACGATTCGAGCCGCGCACGCGACCGGCAATTGTTTGTAGGCACTGCATACGTAAAGTAGAACGGCCAACACCGCCGAGAACGGCGGCTATCGGCAGCCTGCCGCTGCTAGTATCGACCCTCAGGTCTAGATCTAGATAATGTGGCAAAATGTGTTGTTCGCGGCCGCCGCCAGCTCCGCCGGCACGATTCGAGCCGCGCACGCGACCGGCAATTGTTTGTAGGCACTGCATACGTAAAGTAGAACGGCCAACACCGCCGAGAACGGCGGCTATCGGCAGCCTGCCGCTGCTAGTATCGACCCTCAGGTCTAGATCTAGATAATGTGGCAAAATGTGTTGTTCGCGGCCGCCGCCAGCTCCGCCGGCACGATTCGAGACGCGCACGCGACCGGCAATTGTTTGTAGGCACTGCATACGTAAAGTAGAACGGCCAACACCGCCGAGAACGGCGGCTATCGGCAGCCTGCCGCTGCTAGTATCGACCCTCAGGTCTAGATCTAGATAATGTGGCAAAATGTGTTGTTCGCGGCCGCCGCCAGCTCCGCCGGCACGATTCGAGACGCGCACGCGACCGGCAATTGTTTGTAGGCACTGCATACATGAAGTAGAACGGCCAACACCGCCGAGAACGGCGGCTATCGGCAGCCTGCCGCTGCCAGTATCGACCCTCAGGTCTAGATCTAGATAATGTGGCAAAATGTGTTGTTCGCGGCCGCCGCCAGCTCCGCCGGCACGATTCGAGCCGCGCACGCGACCGGCATTAGTTTGTAGGCACTGCATACATGAAGTTGAACGGCCAACACCGCCGAGAACGGCGGCTATCGGCAGCCTGCCGCTGCTAGTATCGACCCTCAGGTCTAGATCTAGATAATGTGGCAAAATGTGTTGTTCGCGGCCGCCGCCAGCTCCGCCGGCACGATTCGAGCCGCGCACGCGACCGGCAATTGTTTGTAGGCACTGCATACATGAAGTAGAACGGCCAACACCGCCGAGAACGGCGGCTGTCGGCAGCCTGCCGCTGCTAGTATCGACCCTCAGGTCTAGATCTAGATAATGTGGCAAAATGTGTTGTTCGCGGCCGCCGCCAGCTCCGCCGGCACGATTCGAGCCGCGCACGCGACCGGCATTAGTTTGTAGGCACTGCATACGTAAAGTAGAATGGCCAACACCGCCGAGAACGGCGGCTATCGGCAGCCTGCCGCTGCTAGTATCGACCCTCAGGTCTAGATCTAGATAATGTGGCAAAATGTGTTGTTCGCGGCCGCCGCCAGCTCCGCCGGCACGATTCGAGCCGCGCACGCGACCGGCAATAGTTTGTAGGCACTGCATACATGAAGTAGAACGGCCAACACCGCCGAGAACGGCGGCTATCGGCAGCCTGCCGCTGCCAGTATCGACCCTCAGGTCTAGATTTTGAAAATGTGGCAAAATGTGTTGTTCGCCACCGCCGCCAGCTCCGCCGGCACGATTCGAGACGCGCACGCGACCGGCATTAGTTTGTAGGCACTGCATACTTGAAGTAGAACGGCCAACACCGCCGAGAACGGCGGCTATCGGCAGCCTGCCGCTGCCAGTATCGACCCTCAGGTCTAGATCTAGATAATGTGGCAAAATGTGTTGTTCGCGGCCGCCGCCAGCTCCGACAGCACGATTCGAGCCGCGCACGCGACCGGCAATTGTTTGTAGGCACTGCATACATGAAGTAGAACGGCCAACACCGCCGAGAACGGCGGCTATCGGCAGCCTGCCGCTGCCAGTATCGACCCTCAGGTCTAGATCTAGATAATGTGGCAAAATGTGTTGTTCGCGGCCGCCGCCAGCTCCGCCGGCACGATTCGAGCCGCGCACGCGACCGGCAATTGTTTGTAGGCACTGCATACATGAAGTAGAACGGCCAACACCGCCGAGAACGGCGGCTGTCGGCAGCCTGCCGCTGCTAGTATCGACCCTCAGGTCTAGATCTAGATAATGTGGCAAAATGTGTTGTTCGCGGCCGCCGCCAGCTCCGCCGGCACGATTCGAGCCGCGCACGCGACCGGCATTAGTTTGTAGGCACTGCATACATGAAGTTGAACGGCCAACACCGCCGAGAACGGCGGCTATCGGCAGCCTGCCGCTGCTAGTATCGACCCTCAGGTCTAGATCTAGATAATGTGGCAAAATGTGTTGTTCGCGGCCGCCGCCAGCTCCGCCGGCACGATTCGAGCCGCGCACGCGACCGGCAATTGTTTGTAGGCACTGCATACATGAAGTAGAACGGCCAACACCGCCGAGAACGGCGGCTGTCGGCAGCCTGCCGCTGCCAGTATCGACCCTCAGGTCTAGATCTAGATAATGTGGCAAAATGTGTTGTTCGCGGCCGCCGCCAGCTCCGCCGGCACGATTCGAGACGCGCACGCGACCGGCATTAGTTTGTAGGCACTGCATACATGAAGTAGAACGGCCAACACCGCCGAGAACGGCGGCTATCGGCAGCCTGCCGCTGCCAGTATCGACCCTCAGGTCTAGATTTTGAAAATGTGGCAAAATGTGTTGTTCGCCACCGCCGCCAGCTCCGCCGGCACGATTCGAGCCGCGCACGCGACCGGTAATAGTTTGTAGGCACTGCATACATGAAGTAGAACGGCCAACACCGCCGAGAACGGCGGCTATCGGCAGCCTGCCGCTGCTAGTATCGACCCTCAGGTCTAGATCTAGATAATGTGGCAAAATGTGTTGTTCGCGGCCGCCGCCAGCTCCGCCGGCACGATTCGAGCCGCGCACGCGACCGGCATTAGTTTGTAGGCACTGCATACATGAAGTAGAACGGCCAACACCGCCGAGAACGGCGGCTATCGGCAGCCTGCCGCTGCCAGTATCGACCCTCAGGTCTAGATCTAGATAATGTGGCAAAATGTGTTGTTCGCGGCCGCCGCCAGCTCCGCCGGCACGATTCGAGCCGCGCACGCGACCGGCAATTGTTTGTAGGCACTGCATACATGAAGTTGAACGGCCAACACCGCCGAGAACGGCGGCTATCGGCAGCCTGCCGCTGCTAGTATCGACCCTCAGGTCTAGATCTAGATAATGTGGCAAAATGTGTTGTTCGCGGCCGCCGCCAGCTCCGCCGGCACGATTCGAGCCTCGCACGCGACCGGCAATTGTTTGTAGGCACTGCATACATGAAGTAGAATGGCCAACACCGCCGAGAACGGCGGCTATCGGCAGCCTGCCGCTGCCAGTATCGACCCTCAGGTCTAGATTTTGAAAATGTGGCAAAATGTGTTGTTCGCGGCCGCCGCCAGCTCCGCCGGCACGATTCGAGCCGCGCACGCGACCGGCAATTGTTTGTAGGCACTGCATACATGAAGTAGAACGGCCAACACCGCCGAGAACGGCGGCTATCGGCAGCCTGCCGCTGCCAGTATCGACCCTCAGGTCTAGATTTTGAAAATGTGGCAAAATGTGTTGTTCGCGGCCGCCGCCAGCTCCGCCGGCACGATTCGAGCCGCGCACGCGACCGGTAATAGTTTGTAGGCACTGCATACATGAAGTAGAACGGCCAACACCGCCGAGAACGGCGGCTATCGGCAGCCTGCCGCTGCTAGTATCGACCCTCAGGTCTAGATCTAGATAATGTGGCAAAATGTGTTGTTCGCGGCCGCCGCCAGCTCCGCCGGCACGATTCGAGCCGCGCACGCGACCGGCATTAGTTTGTAGGCACTGCATACATGAAGTAGAACGGCCAACACCGCCGAGAACGGCGGCTATCGGCAGCCTGCCGCTGCCAGTATCGACCCTCAGGTCTAGATCTAGATAATGTGGCAAAATGTGTTGTTCGCGGCCGCCGCCAGCTCCGCCGGCACGATTCGAGCCGCGCACGCGACCGGCAATTGTTTGTAGGCACTGCATACATGAAGTTGAACGGCCAACACCGCCGAGAACGGCGGCTATCGGCAGCCTGCCGCTGCTAGTATCGACCCTCAGGTCTAGATCTAGATAATGTGGCAAAATGTGTTGTTCGCGGCCGCCGCCAGCTCCGCCGGCACGCTTCGAGCCGCGCACGCGACCGGCATTAGTTTGTAGGCACTGCATACATGAAGTAGAACGGCCAACACCGCCGAGAACGGCGGCTATCGGCAGCCTGCCGCTGCCAGTATCGACCCTCAGGTCTAGATCTAGATAATGTGGCAAAATGTGTTGTTCGCGGCCGCCGCCAGCTCCGCCGGCACGATTCGAGCCGCGCACGCGACCGGCATTAGTTTGTAGGCACTGCATACATGAAGTTGAACGGCCAACACCGCCGAGAACGGCGGCTATCGGCAGCCTGCCGCTGCCAGTATCGACCCTCAGGTCTAGATCTAGATAATGTGGCAAAATGTGTTGTTCGCGGCCGCCGCCAGCTCCGCCGGCACGATTCGAGCCGCGCACGCGACCGGCAATTGTTTGTAGGCACTGCATACATGAAGTAGAACGGCCAACACCGCCGAGAACGGCGGCTATCGGCAGCCTGCCGCTGCTAGTATCGACCCTCAGGTCTAGATCTAGATAATGTGGCAAAATGTGTTGTTCGCGGCCGCCGTCAGCTCCGCCGGCACGATTCGAGACGCGCACGCGACCGGCATTAGTTTGTACGCACTGCATACATGAAGTAGAACGGCCAACACCGCCGAGAACGGCGGCTATCGGCAGCCTGCCGCTGCCAGTATCGACCCTCAGGTCTAGATTTTGAAAATGTGGCAAAATGTGTTGTTCGCGGCCGCCGCCAGCTCCGCCGGCACGATTCGAGCCGCGCACGCGACCGGCATTAGTTTGTAGGCACTGCATACATGAAGTTGAACGGCCAACACCGCCGAGAACGGCGGCTATCGGCAGCCTGCCGCTGCCAGTATCGACCCTCAGGTCTAGATTTTGAAAATGTGGCAAAATGTGTTGTTCGCGGCCGCCGCCAGCTCCGCCGGCACGATTCGAGCCGCGCACGCGACCGGCATTAGTTTGTAGGCACTGCATACATGAAGTTGAACGGCCAACACCGCCGAGAACGGCGGCTATCGGCAGCCTGCCGCTGCCAGTATCGACCCTCAGGTCTAGATTTTGAAAATGTGGCAAAATGTGTTGTTCGCGGCCGCCGCCAGCTCCGCCGGCACGATTCGAGCCGCGCACGCGACCGGCATTAGTTTGTAGGCACTGCATACATGAAGTTGAACGGCCAACACCGCCGAGAACGGCGGCTATCGGCAGCCTGCCGCTGCCAGTATCGACCCTCAGGTCTAGATTTTGAAAATGTGGCAAAATGTGTTGTTCGCGGCCGCCGCCAGCTCCGCCGGCACGATTCGAGCCGCGCACGCGACCGGCATTAATTTGTAGGCACTGCATACGTAAAGTAGAACGGCCAACACCGCCGAGAAGGGCGGCTATCGGCAGCCTGCCGCTGCCAGTATCGACCCTCAGGTCTAGATCTAGATAATGTGGCAAAATGTGTTGTTCGCGGCCGCCGCCAGCTCCGACGGCACGATTCGAGCCGCGCACGCGACCGGCAATTGTTTGTAGGCACTGCATACATGAAGTAGAACGGCCAACACCGCCGAGAACGGCGGGTATCGGCAGCCTGCCGCTGCCAGTATCGACCCTCAGGTCTAGATCTAGATAATGTGGCAAAATGTGTTGTTCGCGGCCGCCGCCAGCTCCGCCGGCACGATTCGAGCCGCGCACGCGACCGGCAATAGTTTGTAGGCACTGCATACGTAAAGTAGAACGGCCAACACCGCCGAGAACGGCGGCTATCGGCAGCCTGCCGCTGCCAGTATCGACCCTCAGGTCTAGATCTAGATAATGTGGCAAAATGTGTTGTTCGCGGCCGCCGCCAGCTCCGACGGCACGCTTCGAGCCGCGCACGCGATCGGCATTAGTTTATAGGCACTGCATACGTAAAGTAGAACGGCCAACACCGCCGAGAACGGCGGCTATCGGCAGCCTGCCGCTGCCAGTATCGACCCTCAGGTCTAGATCTAGATAATGTGGCAAAATGTGTTGTTCGCGGCCGCCGCCAGCTCCGCCGGCACGATTCGAGACGCGCACGCGACCGGCATTAGTTTGTACGCACTGCATACATGAAGTAGAACGGCCAACACCGCCGAGAACGGCGGCTATCGGCAGCCTGCCGCTGCCAGTATCGACCCTCAGGTCTAGATCTAGATAATGTGGCAAAATGTGTTGTTCGCGGCCGCCGCCAGCTCCGCCGGCACGATTCGAGCCGCGCACGCGACCGGCAATTGTTTGTAGGCACTGCATACATGAAGTAGAACGGCCAACACCGCCGAGAACGGCGGGTATCGGCAGCCTGCCGCTGCTAGTATCGACCCTCAGGTCTAGATCTAGATAATGTGGCAAAATGTGTTGTTCGCGGCCGCCGCCAGCTCCGCCGGCACGATTCGAGCCGCGCACGCGACCGGCAATTGTTTGTAGGCACTGCATACGTAAAGTAGAACGGCCAACACCGCCGAGAACGGCGGCTATCGGCAGCCTGCCGCTGCCAGTATCGACCCTCAGGTCTAGATCTAGATAATGTGGCAAAATGTGTTGTTCGCGGCCGCCGCCAGCTCCGCCGGCACGATTCGAGCCGCGCACGCGACCGGCAATAGTTTGTAGGCACTGCATACGTAAAGTAGAACGGCCAACACCGCCGAGAACGGCGGCTATCGGCAGCCTGCCGCTGCCAGTATCGACCCTCAGGTCTAGATTTTGAAAATGTGGCAAAATGTGTTGTTCGCGGCCGCCGCCAGCTCCGCCGGCACGATTCGAGCCGCGCACGCGACCGGCATTAGTTTGTAGGCACTGCATACATGAAGTTGAACGGCCAACACCGCCGAGAAGGGCGGCTATCGGCAGCCTGCCGCTGCCAGTATCGACCCTCAGGTCTAGATCTAGATAATGTGGCAAAATGTGTTGTTCGCGGCCGCCGCCAGCTCCGACGGCACGATTCGAGCCGCGCACGCGACCGGCAATTGTTTGTAGGCACTGCATACGTAAAGTAGAACGGCCAACACCGCCGAGAACGGCGGCTATCGGCAGCCTGCCGCTGCCAGTATCGACCCTCAGGTCTAGATCTAGATAATGTGGCAAAATGTGTTGTTCGCGGCCGCCGCCAGCTCCGACGGCACGCTTCGAGCCGCGCACGCGATCGGCATTAGTTTATAGGCACTGCATACGTAAAGTAGAACGGCCAACACCGCCGAGAACGGCGGCTATCGGCAGCCTGCCGCTGCCAGTATCGACCCTCAGGTCTAGATCTAGATAATGTGGCAAAATGTGTTGTTCGCGGCCGCCGCCAGCTCCGCCGGCACGATTCGAGACGCGCACGCGACCGGCATTAGTTTGTACGCACTGCATACATGAAGTAGAACGGCCAACACCGCCGAGAACGGCGGCTATCGGCAGCCTGCCGCTGCCAGTATCGACCCTCAGGTCTAGATCTAGATAATGTGGCAAAATGTGTTGTTCGCGGCCGCCGCCAGCTCCGCCGGCACGATTCGAGCCGCGCACGCGACCGGCAATTGTTTGTAGGCACTGCATACATGAAGTAGAACGGCCAACACCGCCGAGAACGGCGGGTATCGGCAGCCTGCCGCTGCTAGTATCGACCCTCAGGTCTAGATCTAGATAATGTGGCAAAATGTGTTGTTCGCGGCCGCCGCCAGCTCCGCCGGCACGATTCGAGCCGCGCACGCGACCGGCAATAGTTTGTAGGCACTGCATACGTAAAGTAGAACGGCCAACACCGCCGAGAACGGCGGCTATCGGCAGCCTGCCGCTGCCAGTATCGACCCTCAGGTCTAGATCTAGATAATGTGGCAAAATGTGTTGTTCGCGGCCGCCGCCAGCTCCGCCGGCACGATTCGAGCCGCGCACGCGACCGGCAATTGTTTGTAGGCACTGCATACGTAAAGTAGAACGGCCAACACCGCCGAGAACGGCGGCTATCGGCAGCCTGCCGCTGCCAGTATCGACCCTCAGGTCTAGATCTAGATAATGTGGCAAAATGTGTTGTTCGCGGCCGCCGCCAGCTCCGCCGGCACGATTCGAGACGCGCACGCGACCGGCATTAGTTTGTACGCACTGCATACATGAAGTAGAACGGCCAACACCGCCGAGAACGGCGGCTATCGGCAGCCTGCCGCTGCCAGTATCGACCCTCAGGTCTAGATTTTGAAAATGTGGCAAAATGTGTTGTTCGCGGCCGCCGCCAGCTCCGCCGGCACGATTCGAGCCGCGCACGCGACCGGCAATTGTTTGTAGGCACTGCATACATGAAGTAGAACGGCCAACACCGCCGAGAACGGCGGCTATCGGCAGCCTGCCGCTGCTAGTATCGACCCTCAGGTCTAGATCTAGATAATGTGGCAAAATGTGTTGTTCGCGGCCGCCGCCAGCTCCGCCGGCACGATTCGAGCCGCGCACGCGACCGGCATTAGTTTGTAGGCACTGCATACGTAAAGTAGAACGGCCAACACCGCCGAGAACGGCGGCTATCGGCAGCCTGCCGCTGCTAGTATCGACCCTCAGGTCTAGATCTAGATAATGTGGCAAAATGTGTTGTTCGCGGCCGCCGCCAGCTCCGCCGGCACGATTCGAGACGCGCACGCGACCGGCATTAGTTTGTAGGCACTGCATACATGAAGTAGAACGGCCAACACCGCCGAGAACGGCGGCTATCGGCAGCCTGCCGCTGCCAGTATCGACCCTCAGGTCTAGATCTAGATAATGTGGCAAAATGTGTTGTTCGCGGCCGCCGCCAGCTCCGCCGGCACGATTCGAGCCGCGCACGCGACCGGCAATTGTTTGTAGGCACTGCATACATGAAGTAGAACGGCCAACACCGCCGAGAACGGCGGCTGTCGGCAGCCTGCCGCTGCCAGTATCGACCCTCAGGTCTAGATCTAGATAATGTGGCAAAATGTGTTGTTCGCGGCCGCCGCCAGCTCCGCCGGCACGATTCGAGCCGCGCACGCGACCGGCAATTGTTTGTAGGCACTGCATACATGAAGTAGAACGGCCAACACCGCCGAGAACGGCGGCTATCGGCAGCCTGCCGCTGCCAGTATCGACCCTCAGGTCTAGATTTTGATAATGTGGCAAAATGTGTTGTTCGCGGCCGCCGCCAGCTCCGCCGGCACGATTCGAGCCGCGCACGCGACCGGCATTAGTTTGTAGGCACTGCATACATGAAGTAGAACGGCCAACACCGCCGAGAACGGCGGCTATCGGCAGCCTGCCGCTGCCAGTATCGACCCTCAGGTCTAGATCTAGATAATGTGGCAAAATGTGTTGTTCGCGGCCGCCGCCAGCTCCGCCGGCACGATTCGAGCCGCGCACGCGACCGGCATTAGTTTGTAGGCACTGCATACATGAAGTAGAACGGCCAACACCGCCGAGAACGGCGGCTATCGGCAGCCTGCCGCTGCTAGTATCGACCCTCAGGTCTAGATCTAGATAATGTGGCAAAATGTGTTGTTCGCGGCCGCCGCCAGCTCCGCCGGCACGATTCGAGACGCGCACGCGACCGGCATTAGTTTGTAGGCACTGCATACGTAAAGTAGAACGGCCAACACCGCCGAGAACGGCGGCTATCGGCAGCCTGCCGCTGCCAGTATCGACCCTCAGGTCTAGATCTAGATAATGTGGCAAAATGTGTTGTTCGCGGCCGCCGCCAGCTCCGCCGGCACGATTCGAGCCGCGCACGCGACCGGCATTAGTTTGTAGGCACTGCATACATAAAGTTGAACGGCCAACACCGCCGAGAACGGCGGCTATCGGCAGCCTGCCGCTGCCAGTATCGACCCTCAGGTCTAGATCTAGATAATGTGGCAAAATGTGTTGTTCGCGGCCGCCGCCAGCTCCGCCGGCACGATTCGAGCCGCGCACGCGACCGGCATTAGTTTGTAGGCACTGCATACATAAAGTTGAACGGCCAACACCGCCGAGAACGGCGGCTATCGGCAGCCTGCCGCTGCCAGTATCGACCCTCAGGTCTAGATCTAGATAATGTGGCAAAATGTGTTGTTCGCGGCCGCCGCCAGCTCCGCCGGCACGATTCGAGCCGCGCACGCGACCGGCAATAGTTTGTAGGCACTGCATACATGAAGTAGAACGGCCAACACCGCCGAGAACGGCGGCTATCGGCAGCCTGCCGCTGCCAGTATCGACCCTCAGGTCTAGATCTAGATAATGTGGCAAAATGTGAACGGCCAACACCGCCGAGAACGGCGGCTATCGGCAGCCTGCCGCTGCCAGTATCGACCCTCAGGTCTAGATCTAGATAATGTGGCAAAATGTGTTGTTCGCGGCCGCCGCCAGCTCCGCCGGCACGATTCGCCGCCGCCAGCTCCGCCGGCACGATTCGAGACGCGCACGCGACCGGCATTAGTTTGTAGGCACTGCATACGTAAAGTAGAACGGCCAACACCGCCGAGAACGGCGGCTATCGGCAGCCTGCCGCTGCCAGTATCGACCCTCAGGTCTAGATCTAGATAATGTGGCAAAATGTGTTGTTCGCGGCCGCCGCCAGCTCCGCCGGCACGATTCGAGACGCGCACGCGACCGGCATTAGTTTGTAGGCACTGCATACGTAAAGTAGAACGGCCAACACCGCCGAGAACGGCGGCTATCGGCAGCCTGCCGCTGCCAGTATCGACCCTCAGGTCTAGATCTAGATAATGTGGCAAAATGTGTTGTTCGCGGCCGCCGCCAGCTCCGCCGGCACGATTCGAGCCGCGCACGCGACCGGCATTAGTTTGTAGGCACTGCATACATAAAGTTGAACGGCCAACACCGCCGAGAACGGCGGCTATCGGCAGCCTGCCGCTGCCAGTATCGACCCTCAGGTCTAGATCTAGATAATGTGGCAAAATGTGTTGTTCGCGGCCGCCGCCAGCTCCGCCGGCACGATTCGAGACGCGCACGCGACCGGCATTAGTTTGTAGGCACTGCATACATGAAGTAGAACGGCCAACACCGCCGAGAACGGCGGCTATCGGCAGCCTGCCGCTGCCAGTATCGACCCTCAGGTCTAGATCTAGATAATGTGGCAAAATGTGTTGTTCGCGGCCGCCGCCAGCTCCGCCGGCACGATTCGAGACGCGCACGCGACCGGCATTAGTTTGTAGGCACTGCATACGTAAAGTAGAACGGCCAACACCGCCGAGAACGGCGGCTATCGGCAGCCTGCCGCTGCCAGTATCGACCCTCAGGTCTAGATCTAGATAATGTGGCAAAATGTGTTGTTCGCGGCCGCCGCCAGCTCCGCCGGCACGATTCGAGCCGCGCACGCGACCGGCAATTGTTTGTAGGCACTGCATACATAAAGTTGAACGGCCAACACCGCCGAGAACGGCGGCTATCGGCAGCCTGCCGCTGCCAGTATCGACCCTCAGGTCTAGATCTAGATAATGTGGCAAAATGTGTTGTTCGCGGCCGCCGCCAGCTCCGCCGGCACGATTCGAGACGCGCACGCGACCGGCATTAGTTTGTAGGCACTGCATACGTAAAGTAGAACGGCCAACACCGCCGAGAACGGCGGCTATCGGCAGCCTGCCGCTGCCAGTATCGACCCTCAGGTCTAGATCTAGATAATGTGGCAAAATGTGTTGTTCGCGGCCGCCGCCAGCTCCGCCGGCACGATTCGAGCCGCGCACGCGACCGGCATTATTTTGTAGGCACTGCATACATGAAGTAGAACGGCCAACACCGCCGAGAACGGCGGCTATCGGCAGCCTGCCGCTGCCAGTATCGACCCTCAGGTCTAGATTTTGATAATGTGGCAAAATGTGTTGTTCGCGGCCGCCGCCAGCTCCGCCGGCACGATTCGAGCCGCGCACGCGACCGGCATTAGTTTGTAGGCACTGCATACATGAAGTAGAACGGCCAACACCGCCGAGAACGGCGGCTATCGGCAGCCTGCCGCTGCCAGTATCGACCCTCAGGTCTAGATCTAGATAATGTGGCAAAATGTGTTGTTCGCGGCCGCCGCCAGCTCCGCCGGCACGATTCGAGACGCGCACGCGACCGGCATTAGTTTGTAGGCACTGCATACGTAAAGTAGAACGGCCAACACCGCCGAGAACGGCGGCTATCGGCAGCCTGCCGCTGCCAGTATCGACCCTCAGGTCTAGATCTAGATAATGTGGCAAAATGTGTTGTTCGCGGCCGCCGCCAGCTCCGCCGGCACGATTCGAGCCGCGCACGCGACCGGCATTAGTTTGTAGGCACTGCATACATGAAGTTGAACGGCCAACACCGCCGAGAACGGCGGCTATCGGCAGCCTGCCGCTGCTAGTATCGACCCTCAGGTCTAGATCTAGATAATGTGGCAAAATGTGTTGTTCGCGGCCGCCGTCAGCTCCGCCGGCACGATTCGAGACGCGCACGCGACCGGCATTAGTTTGTAGGCACTGCATACGTAAAGTAGAACGGCCAACACCGCCGAGAACGGCGGCTATCGGCAGCCTGCCGCTGCCAGTATCGACCCTCAGGTCTAGATCTAGATAATGTGGCAAAATGTGTTGTTCGCGGCCGCCGCCAGCTCCGCCGGCACGATTCGAGCCGCGCACGCGACCGGCAATAGTTTGTAGGCACTGCATACATGAAGTAGAACGGCCAACACCGCCGAGAACGGCGGCTATCGGCAGCCTGCCGCTGCCAGTATCGACCCTCAGGTCTAGATCTAGATAATGTGGCAAAATGTGTTGTTCGCGGCCGCCGCCAGCTCCGCCGGCACGATTCGAGCCGCGCACGCGACCGGCATTAGTTTGTAGGCACTGCATACGTAAAGTAGAACGGCCAACACCGCCGAGAACGGCGGCTATCGGCAGCCTGCCGCTGCCAGTATCGACCCTCAGGTCTAGATCTAGATAATGTGGCAAAATGTGTTGTTCGCGGCCGCCGCCAGCTCCGCCGGCACGATTCGAGCCGCGCACGCGACCGGCAATAGTTTGTAGGCACTGCATACATGAAGTAGAACGGCCAACACCGCCGAGAACGGCGGCTATCGGCAGCCTGCCGCTGCCAGTATCGACCCTCAGGTCTAGATCTAGATAATGTGGCAAAATGTGTTGTTCGCGGCCGCCGCCAGCTCCGCCGGCACGATTCGAGCCGCGCACGCGACCGGCAATTGTTTGTAGGCACTGCATACATGAAGTTGAACGGCCAACACCGCCGAGAACGGCGGCTATCGGCAGCCTGCCGCTGCTAGTATCGACCCTCAGGTCTAGATCTAGATAATGTGGCAAAATGTGTTGTTCGCGGCCGCCGCCAGCTCCGCCGGCACGATTCGAGCCGCGCACGCGACCGGCAATAGTTTGTAGGCACTGCATACATGAAGTAGAACGGCCAACACCGCCGAGAACGGCGGCTATCGGCAGCCTGCCGCTGCCAGTATCGACCCTCAGGTCTAGATCTAGATAATGTGGCAAAATGTGTTGTTCGCGGCCGCCGCCAGCTCCGCCGGCACGATTCGAGCCGCGCACGCGACCGGCATTAGTTTGTAGGCACTGCATACGTAAAGTAGAACGGCCAACACCGCCGAGAACGGCGGCTATCGGCAGCCTGCCGCTGCCAGTATCGACCCTCAGGTCTAGATTTTGAAAATGTGGCAAAATGTGTTGTTCGCCACCGCCGCCAGCTCCGCCGGCACGATTCGAGCCGCGCACGCGACCGGTAATAGTTTGTAGGCACTGCATACATGAAGTAGAACGGCCAACACCGCCGAGAACGGCGGCTATCGGCAGCCTGCCGCTGCTAGTATCGACCCTCAGGTCTAGATCTAGATAATGTGGCAAAATGTGTTGTTCGCGGCCGCCGCCAGCTCCGCCGGCACGATTCGAGCCGCGCACGCGACCGGCATTAGTTTGTAGGCACTGCATACATGAAGTAGAACGGCCAACACCGCCGAGAACGGCGGCTATCGGCAGCCTGCCGCTGCCAGTATCGACCCTCAGGTCTAGATCTAGATAATGTGGCAAAATGTGTTGTTCGCGGCCGCCGCCAGCTCCGCCGGCACGATTCGAGCCGCGCACGCGACCGGCATTAGTTTGTACGCACTGCATACATGAAGTAGAACGGCCAACACCGCCGAGAACGGCGGCTATCGGCAGCCTGCCGCTGCTAGTATCGACCCTCAGGTCTAGATCTAGATAATGTGGCAAAATGTGTTGTTCGCGGCCGCCGCCAGCTCCGCCGGCACGATTCGAGCCGCGCACGCGACCGGCATTAGTTTGTAGGCACTGCATACGTAAAGTAGAACGGCCAACACCGCCGAGAACGGCGGCTATCGGCAGCCTGCCGCTGCCAGTATCGACCCTCAGGTCTAGATCTAGATAATGTGGCAAAATGTGTTGTTCGCGGCCGCCGCCAGCTCTGCCGGCACGATTCGAGCCGCGCACGCGACCGGCATTAGTTTGTAGGCACTGCATACATGAAGTTGAATGGCCAACACCGCCGAGAACGGCGGCTATCGGCAGCCTGCCGCTGCCAGTATCGACCCTCAGGTCTAGATCTAGATAATGTGGCAAAATGTGTTGTTCGCGGCCGCCGCCAGCTCCGCCGGCACGATTCGAGCCGCGCACGCGACCGGCATTAGTTTGTAGGCACTGCATACATGAAGTAGAACGGCCAACACCGCCGAGAACGGCGGCTATCGGCAGCCTGCCGCTGCTAGTATCGACCCTCAGGTCTAGATTTTGAAAATGTGGCAAAATGTGTTGTTCGCGGCCGCCGCCAGCTCCGCCGGCACGATTCGAGCCGCGCACGCGACCGGCATTAGTTTGTAGGCACTGCATACATGAAGTTGAACGGCCAACACCGCCGAGAACGGCGGCTATCGGCAGCCTGCCGCTGCCAGTATCGACCCTCAGGTCTAGATCTAGATAATGTGGCAAAATGTGTTGTTCGCGGCCGCCGCCAGCTCCGCCGGCACGATTCGAGCCGCGCACGCGACCGGCATTAGTTTGTAGGCACTGCATACATGAAGTAGAACGGCCAACACCGCCGAGAACGGCGGCTATCGGCAGCCTGCCGCTGCCAGTATCGACCCTCAGGTCTAGATCTAGATAATGTGGCAAAATGTGTTGTTCGCGGCCGCCGCCAGCTCCGCCGGCACGATTCGAGCCGCGCACGCGACCGGCATTAGTTTGTAGGCACTGCATACATGAAGTAGAACGGCCAACACCGCCGAGAACGGCGGCTATCGGCAGCCTGCCGCTGCCAGTATCGACCCTCAGGTCTAGATCTAGATAATGTGGCAAAATGTGTTGTTCGCGGCCGCCGCCAGCTCCGCCGGCACGATTCGAGCCGCGCACGCGACCGGCATTAGTTTGTAGGCACTGCATACATGAAGTTGAATGGCCAACACCGCCGAGAACGGCGGCTATCGGCAGCCTGCCGCTGCCAGTATCGACCCTCAGGTCTAGATCTAGATAATGTGGCAAAATGTGTTGTTCGCGGCCGCCGCCAGCTCCGCCGGCACGATTCGAGCCGCGCACGCGACCGGCATTAGTTTGTAGGCACTGCATACATGAAGTAGAACGGCCAACACCGCCGAGAACGGCGGCTATCGGCAGCCTGCCGCTGCCAGTATCGACCCTCAGGTCTAGATCTAGATAATGTGGCAAAATGTGTTGTTCGCGGCCGCCGCCAGCTCCGCCGGCACGATTCGAGCCGCGCACGCGACCGGCATTAGTTTGTAGGCACTGCATACATGAAGTAGAACGGCCAACACCGCCGAGAACGGCGGCTATCGGCAGCCTGCCGCTGCCAGTATCGACCCTCAGGTCTAGATCTAGATAATGTGGCAAAATGTGTTGTTCGCGGCCGCCGCCAGCTCCGCCGGCACGATTCGAGCCGCGCACGCGACCGGCATTATTTTGTAGGCACTGCATACATGAAGTAGAACGGCCAACACCGCCGAGAACGGCGGCTATCGGCAGCCTGCCGCTGCCAGTATCGACCCTCAGGTCTAGATCTAGATAATGTGGCAAAATGTGTTGTTCGCGGCCGCCGCCAGCTCCGCCGGCACGATTCGAGCCGCGCACGCGACCGGCATTAGTTTGTAGGCACTGCATACATGAAGTAGAACGGCCAACACCGCCGAGAACGGCGGCTATCGGCAGCCTGCCGCTGCTAGTATCGACCCTCAGGTCTAGATCTAGATAATGTGGCAAAATGTGTTGTTCGCGGCCGCCGCCAGCTCCGCCGGCACGATTCGAGCCGCGCACGCGACCGGCATTAGTTTGTAGGCACTGCATACGTAAAGTAGAACGGCCAACACCGCCGAGAACGGCGGCTATCGGCAGCCTGCCGCTGCCAGTATCGACCCTCAGGTCTAGATCTAGATAATGTGGCAAAATGTGTTGTTCGCGGCCGCCGCCAGCTCTGCCGGCACGATTCGAGCCGCGCACGCGACCGGCATTAGTTTGTAGGCACTGCATACATGAAGTTGAACGGCCAACACCGCCGAGAACGGCGGCTATCGGCAGCCTGCCGCTGCCAGTATCGACCCTCAGGTCTAGATCTAGATAATGTGGCAAAATGTGTTGTTCGCGGCCGCCGCCAGCTCCGCCGGCACGATTCGAGCCGCGCACGCGACCGGCATTAGTTTGTAGGCACTGCATACATGAAGTAGAACGGCCAACACCGCCGAGAACGGCGGCTATCGGCAGCCTGCCGCTGCTAGTATCGACCCTCAGGTCTAGATCTAGATAATGTGGCAAAATGTGTTGTTCGCGGCCGCCGCCAGCTCCGCCGGCACGATTCGAGCCGCGCACGCGACCGGCATTAGTTTGTAGGCACTGCATACATGAAGTTGAACGGCCAACACCGCCGAGAACGGCGGCTATCGGCAGCCTGCCGCTGCCAGTATCGACCCTCAGGTCTAGATCTAGATAATGTGGCAAAATGTGTTGTTCGCGGCCGCCGCCAGCTCCGCCGGCACGATTCGAGCCGCGCACGCGACCGGCATTAGTTTGTAGGCACTGCATACATGAAGTTGAATGGCCAACACCGCCGAGAACGGCGGCTATCGGCAGCCTGCCGCTGCCAGTATCGACCCTCAGGTCTAGATCTAGATAATGTGGCAAAATGTGTTGTTCGCGGCCGCCGCCAGCTCCGCCGGCACGATTCGAGCCGCGCACGCGACCGGCATTAGTTTGTAGGCACTGCATACATGAAGTTGAATGGCCAACACCGCCGAGAACGGCGGCTATCGGCAGCCTGCCGCTGCCAGTATCGACCCTCAGGTCTAGATCTAGATAATGTGGCAAAATGTGTTGTTCGCGGCCGCCGCCAGCTCCGCCGGCACGATTCGAGCCGCGCACGCGACCGGCATTAGTTTGTAGGCACTGCATACATGAAGTAGAACGGCCAACACCGCCGAGAACGGCGGCTATCGGCAGCCTGCCGCTGCCAGTATCGACCCTCAGGTCTAGATCTAGATAATGTGGCAAAATGTGTTGTTCGCGGCCGCCGCCAGCTCCGCCGGCACGATTCGAGCCGCGCACGCGACCGGCATTAGTTTGTAGGCACTGCATACATGAAGTTGAACGGCCAACACCGCCGAGAACGGCGGCTATCGGCAGCCTGCCGCTGCCAGTATCGACCCTCAGGTCTAGATCTAGATAATGTGGCAAAATGTGTTGTTCGCGGCCGCCGCCAGCTCTGCCGGCACGATTCGAGCCGCGCACGCGACCGGCAATTGTTTGTAGGCACTGCATACATGAAGTAGAACGGCCAACACCGCCGAGAACGGCGGCTATCGGCAGCCTGCCGCTGCCAGTATCGACCCTCAGGTCTAGATCTAGATAATGTGGCAAAATGTGTTGTTCGCGGCCGCCGCCAGCTGTGCCGGCACGATTCGAGCCGCGCACGCGACCGGCAATTGTTTGTAGGCACTGCATACATGAAGTAGAATGGCCAACACCGCCGAGAACGGCGGCTATCGGCAGCCTGCCGCTGCCAGTATCGACCCTCAGGTCTAGATCTAGATAATGTGGCAAAATGTGTTGTTCGCGGCCGCCGCCAGCTCCGCCGGCACGATTCGAGCCGCGCACGCGACCGGCATTAGTTTGTACGCACTGCATACATAAAGTAGAACGGCCAACACCGCCGAGAACGGCGGCTATCGGCAGCCTGCCGCTGCCAGTATCGACCCTCAGGTCTAGATCTAGATAATGTGGCAAAATGTGTTGTTCGCGGCCGCCGCCAGCTCCGCCGGCACGATTCGAGCCGCGCACGCGACCGGCATTAGTTTGTAGGCACTGCATACATGAAGTAGAACGGCCAACACCGCCGAGAACGGCGGCTATCGGCAGCCTGCCGCTGCCAGTATCGACCCTCAGGTCTAGATCTAGATAATGTGGCAAAATGTGTTGTTCGCGGCCGCCGCCAGCTCCGCCGGCACGATTCGAGCCGCGCACGCGACCGGCATTAGTTTGTAGGCACTGCATACATGAAGTAGAACGGCCAACACCGCCGAGAACGGCGGCTATCGGCAGCCTGCCGCTGCCAGTATCGACCCTCAGGTCTAGATCTAGATAATGTGGCAAAATGTGTTGTTCGCGGCCGCCGCCAGCTCCGCCGGCACGATTCGAGCCGCGCACGCGACCGGCATTAGTTTGTAGGCACTGCATACATGAAGTAGAACGGCCAACACCGCCGAGAACGGCGGCTATCGGCAGCCTGCCGCTGCCAGTATCGACCCTCAGGTCTAGATCTAGATAATGTGGCAAAATGTGTTGTTCGCGGCCGCCGCCAGCTCCGCCGGCACGATTCGAGCCGCGCACGCGACCGGCATTAGTTTGTAGGCACTGCATACATGAAGTAGAACGGCCAACACCGCCGAGAACGGCGGCTATCGGCAGCCTGCCGCTGCCAGTATCGACCCTCAGGTCTAGATCTAGATAATGTGGCAAAATGTGTTGTTCGCGGCCGCCGCCAGCTCCGCCGGCACGATTCGAGCCGCGCACGCGACCGGCATTAGTTTGTAGGCACTGCATACATGAAGTAGAACGGCCAACACCGCCGAGAACGGCGGCTATCGGCAGCCTGCCGCTGCCAGTATCGACCCTCAGGTCTAGATCTAGATAAGTCGACAACGATGGAGGCGCAGGCGGCGCCGTGGAACGCTTTCCGTGTGGTCGAAGGGGAAACGAGTCGCTCCCACCAGCTGAGGGTTCCTGCTGGATCTGCTGTTGGTGATTTCTGCGATCTGCTTGCGAAACGAGGCCTTTTCCCAGCCGACCTTGACACGTTAGACCTCAAAGTGTTCGCAAACAGCAAGGAAGAGGAGAAGGGGAGTTTTCTGACGGAGAACGACAGTTTGGAGAACTACGGAGTGGAGAAGGAGGACCCCATCATCGTGAAAGTTCCCCAGGTCTGGTTCAAGATAAAGACAGCCGATGGCCGCATCACCAGTGAAGCATCGGTTCCACTGCCCGAGTATAAGACGATTCAGCATCTAAAGGATGCATTGGAGGTGAAATACAGCACTACCTATCTCGCCGGCGTCGCTATAAACGACGTGCAGGTGTTCAACGGTAGTGATGGGCCTTTGAAGGCCAAGTCACTCATTGATTCGCTTGGTCAAACGATGGAGGAGGCGCTCGTCGTGACCGTGCTACGGACAAGAGGGCGGGAGGAAACGAAGGATGAAGCTGATGAGAGTCCAGCGAAGCGACACAGAACCGCTGGCGTTACGGAGTGGGTGTGGCGAAAAGAGGAACCTGTCTATTCTGTGCAAGATGGCATCATGGCTTTCGTGAACCGTGAGCACGCGACGCTACAACTTCAAGAGTTCCACGCAAACAACTATAATCGCGCAAATATCGGACTTGGTGGTGAAAATTGGGTGGTCCCCTTGGTGGACACTGTGTTTGGCATCGGGAAAACAAGGTTTGGTGCCGAGTACATTCGGAGATGCCAACAAATGTGGGCTGCTCACCCCAACCGAGGGAAAGACAGTTTCCTGGACACGTTGACGCAGTGCCACACGATCCAGATTCAGTTTTCCCGAACGGACCTCCTGGATAGCGAGTTGAAGTTTAATTCTGATATGGCCGACGCTGCTTTCGTGGAGCAGATCAGTTATTTCTTCGAGGAGAAATACGACAGATTACCCGGTGCTCTCACTCCCCAGTCGCTGCAAACCAATTCAGGTCTGGTGTCAGTCTTCAAACGTTTGACGAAAGAAGTTGGGCCACTGTTCATCGTGATCGACGAAATCGGCGCGGCCTTCGACGCTGTCAAGCTTGGTGACATCGCCAAACGAGAATGCTTCGTGGAATTCTGCACACAGCCCTTTGGCCGTTGTTTCCCAACAAGAAGTTATTTTTCTTGATTGCTGTCGCGCAACGTTCCTGAGCTACGTCGGTTTGAGACCAACCGCATGCGTTGAAATGACAAACAGATTTGTCGATTTCCAAAGACTCAGCCTCAATCTTCTCCGGTCACCTGCAATCGAGGAAATTATTAAGACGACGTATTGGGACAAGGGGAAGACGGAAACCATTCAGCAGCACTTTAATCTCAGTGATGGCGAAGTGAAGAAGAGTGCTGACCATCTGTTCAAGACAACATTCGGACATCCACGATCACTACTTCGCGCTTTCAAAGTTTGCCAATCCGTTGAGGAACTTAACTCGTATGATGCGCCTTTTCAGTTGGTGGAAAGAATGAACTGGCAACGGTTTGGCGAACGCTTGCGGAATTTCAAGGAGCCACTTCGATTTTTGATGACTGCTCTACTCGCTGACGAAGCAGTAGACCTAGGACAAAGGTGGAGAGACCAGGGCGGCAAAGAAATCACATACGACGCCATTGTGGATATGTTTGGAATCGCATGGGAAGGAGAATCGAAGACGGCGAGGCTGCATATACCACAACATATCCAGCACGCGGCACTAAGTTCCTTCTACCCGTTCAGAGAACTTCTTGAAAGAGCTGCACCAGCACTTGGTCGGGTGGCAATCGATCATCCTGACGAGTTCGAGCTGCTTTGCATGACGCGGTTCCAGGAGGTTATTGACGAGGAGAAACGTCCGAGCGACGTACTCTCCGAATTTTTCGCAGATACATCTTTTGGGCGCACAAAGGTGAAGTTCGCGAAGATCACATATGAAATGCCGCAAGTAACATCGAAGGGAAAGAAGCAGTCGTCGTTAACCGAAGCCACCGCGCATCCGGGAGATTTGAAGGCGTTGCTGATGGAGATCCACGGCCTTGCGCTCGAAAACGGACAATTGAGCCTGAAGCCGCTTCCGAAGTCATCTTCGCCCGACATCCTGCTGATGACGATGTCGTCAGGTACCATGGTAACAGTTGGACTCGCCGTTAAAAACTATGCCAAGTCCAGCAAGGTCGGTGGGGAAACCATACGTGAGGAGTGCAAGAAGTTTAGCAAGGTGTGCCTGCAGTTGCCCAAGTCCTCGCTTCCCCGACTGAACGTTCTCATTTTGTGTGCAACGGCCTACACCTTCCACAATGAAACGTTTCAAGGTGCCAAATTTGCCGTATATTCGACTGAAGACTCGAAGGACGACCGCGCGGGCATCGATGAGGTTATTCTGCTGGATTTATCTACGCGAGGTAATCGTGGCGAGTTTTTCGGGATTGCCGGTATCGACGAGCTAGAAAGGACGCTAGAGGCAGTTGTTGTTGCGAAACCCTCAGTGGACGTTGTCCAGACTGCAAACCAATAGTACGACTTTTCGTCGGCTGGTGGTTATGGAGACTTCTTTCATGGTAGAGGCGAAGGGATCTGCGGCCCGAAACTCGAAGAGCGTGGAATTAGCTTGACGTCGTTGACAGGGGTAGTGAGATGGTGACTGACTCATACAAACCACATGGGAGTGGTAAGGCTACAAGAACCACGTGATGATGTGCTCGTGTTGAAACTGCGTTGACACAAGTGCTGCATTTCTTACGTGATAATCGCAAATGCAAAGCTCAACAATGGGTGTGAAGTTGAGAACTGTTTAATTCTGCTGTACAGTCTTTGGGATTTTTCAAGTGTTCTTGCTTACTGTTAGTACTGGGATAGGGCCTATCCCTAAATTCCAGAGCCTCTTAGGGTGCAGCACGACTTTGTTTCACTGCCAATGATTCATTGGTCACTATGAACAGCCTAAGTCTTCATCATTGAAAACTTACCAAGGGACTAAAAGTAGTACTTCCAAGTAAGAAAGCACACCGCGTTATAACTTCGTCATCGATTGAAAAGCTGCATCCCTACAGCACCGTAGGCGGTATGCAGCCCATGCGAAAATAATAAGTCAGTCCTTGACCCCTTTCAGCACCACTGCCTTCCATAGCGACGTCGAGTTAGTCAAACTTGGTGAGATCCAGCGTCATCGACTTGGATTGTTGCAGCGTGATGTTCTTGCAGACGCCGACGAGCGCGTCAGCCTTCTCGTAGAATGAGTCCTTTAGCGAGATCACCACGCACTGGAAGTCGCAATTGGCAATGTACGTCGACACCTTGTTCACGTTCGCGTTGTCCAGTGCGGCGTCCACTTCGTCGAGCACGAAGAATGGAGACGGACGGTAGTTGTGGATCGCGAAGAGGAGAGCTAGAGCAGCAACGGTCTTCTCGCCACCTGACAATTGTTCCATCTCGCGGAAGCGCTTCATCGGGGGCATCGCATTGTACTTCATTCCGTTCAGGTAGGGCTCCTCGGCGTTCTCCAGATTCAAGTACGCCGTGGCTCCCAGAGGGTGCTTGGAGTTCTTCGCAAGCTGCTTGTACGTCGAGTCGATCACTCCGGAAATGTGGTTGAACGCCTCCATGAATCGATCGAAGCGAGCTTGCTTGACCTCCTCGAACTTGGTCGCTGTTTCAAATGACGTCTGCTTGATACGATCCAGTTCCTCCTCCTCTTTCCCAATCCGGTTCTGGATCACGTCGAATTTGTCCAGCGCGCGCATGTTTGGCTTCATACGCTCCAGCTCAGTGAGCAGCACACCGATGCGCTTTTCGTACTTGGTGTTGATCTCATCAAACTCCTTATCATCCATCACCACATGCGCATCAGGAAGCGCCGAGAAACCCACTTCTTGGTTCGTTGCGAGTAGATCTGAGCTCTCGAGGCTGTCATGATCAGCTGAGCTGCTCGTATTTGACGGCACACCGGTCGCATTGGCTTCTTCCATCTCGACATCTTCGGTGCCGTTTGAGGATTGATAAGCAATAGTTGGTAGTGTGACCTGATCCAGCGACGCCCGCTTAAAAATCCCCGTCTTGTGATCCTTCAGGCGCTCCAGTACGATCTCCTCCGAAGCAATTCTTCTTTGAATTTTGCCCTTTCTTTCTTCGTATTTGGCTTTCTTGCTGCCGATTTCCCGAAGCTCCTTCTCAAGCTCCTCCACCTTTGCTGACAAGTTCTTGCGTAGTCCTTCTTGCTCCTTCCTTTCCTTCTGCAACGCTGCCACTCGTTTCATCAAGCCGGTTTCCTCTTCAGCTCATTGCTTCAGGTGTTCGGCTTCCCGAGTTGCCCTCTCCTTTGCGTCGAGCATGGGTTGATTGAAATCCTGCGACTGCAAGTACTCGATCTGAGCCAAAACAATACAACGGTACTGTGTTAGAACATCAATAAATCGACTACAAGGCACCGCCAAATCATTACCTGAGCACGGAGTTTGGCTTCATGCTCCGTAATTTTGCGCCGCATCTCTATTGCCTTGTGGTGTCGCTTCAACACCTTCTCTTCATAGACTCGAATGCTCTCGACACCAACAGCCTCGCTGAAATCTGCAAACATTTCGTCCTCTACCCCATTGATTTGCTCCTGCAACGCCGCAATGCTACCCTTACGAGAGCTGACCGCCCCTCCATATTTCTGAAGCTCAGGCTCGATGATCTCGGCCATTCGCTTCTTGGCCTCATCAATTCGCGCTTGAATCTTTGGTCGTTTTGTTTCAGTAATCACCAAGTCTGCCTTAGCATGACTGAGTCGGCTTCTCAACCCCTCCAGTTGTGTCCGTAACGATTGCAACTTTGCGTACGAAGCACCATGCCGCTCCATTGCGCGGATTGTGTCGATGAGATCATCTTTTTGTTGCTGCAAGGCCCCCACCTCCTTTTCATCCCAGCGGCCAGCCCGAAGCACGTCATTCTTGGCGTCATACTGCCGTTCTTGCTCACCACCATTCCGTCCAATGTCACAGCTTTCACCTTCTCGTTCCGATGGAAGCACAGGTCCCGGGCGATGTCAATAGAGTCACATACAACAGTATCACCAACTGCATAGTGCAACGCCGGCTCAATCTCCGCGTCGCATTCAATCACGTCGACGACCATCTTGATATTGTAGCCCAGACCACGAAAGCGCTCATTGATAGGCTTTACACGGATCTTATCCAGAGGAATAAACTGCGCGCTACCTGCACGAGACTCACGGAGATACTGAATGCAGTCTTGGCCTGTCCTGTAGTCTGTTACTGTACCACAATTGCATCCATGTGCTTTCCAGTCGCCACGGTCACGGCCATGTTGTACTTGCGTTGGATCGGCTTGGACAGATCTACGAGGCGGCCACGAACACCGGGGTACACTCTTTTCAGCGTCTCCAGTGTCTCTGCCTGGCGCGCTTCTGCCTGCGACTGCCGCTTGTCGCCTTTCAGGTCGCGCAGCTTGTTTGTGACTCGGTCCAGCTGCTGTGAGAGCTTTTCTTTTTCTGAGCCTGGCCTCGATTCTCCTCGTCAGCATTCTGTATGCTCTTCTCAGCTTCTGCAATGTTTCTTCTCCTCCAGCAGCTGCTCGTACTCGGCCTTGAGCTCGTCCGACATGGAGATCTGCTCGAAGAACTTGGTGAGCTCGTCCGGGCTCTTGCTGGCGATGCTCTCGACGTCCCCCTGGAAGACCAAAAAGTTGCGCGCCTTGACCAGGATGCCGAGCTCCTTGAGCTGCGCCTGGTACGTCTCGGCGCTGACGTCGCGCGCGTCGATGCGGTACGAGCCCACACCTTTCTCCGAGATGAGGCGCGTGAACCGCACCTTCTTTTGACTCAAAAGTTTTGAGACGACGGTGACTGTGACGTCTGCTGCTGGGCCGCGCACGAGGCGGAGGGAGGCGCCTCGCCGTCCGCCAGCTCGTAGACGAGCGTGACGGCGGCGGCGCGGGCGCTGGTTGTGTCGTCGTCACTTGGGGCCTTGTGGATCAGGTGCTTGAGCTGCGTCGAGCGCAAATGGCGCGAGTGCACGCCCAGCACGAACGAGATGGCGTCTATGAGGTTGCTCTTGCCGCTGCCGTTGGGCCCCACCAGCGCCGTGAAGCGCTGGAAGGGCCCCACCACGTGCGCGCCGCCGTACGACTTGAAGTTCTCGAGCTCCAGCCGCGCAATGCGCCCCATAGTCGCTCCGGCCGCAGGCCGCCTCGACGTGAAGAAGCTTGCCGGGCGTTATAGGCGTTAGCATGTGTCGTGTATTTAGAGGCGTTATAAAACGACGAAAAGTTGTCCTACTTTTATGTCGCGACTGAGATCATCCAGAAGTTGACGATCCACACGCCAAAATGGATTCAACGCCAGGCTGACGCGGCGTCGCCCGCTGTAGCAGCAGCGGACGCGTCCGCGCTGAGCGAGCAGGAGGTGCTGGCGCCGCTGCCTCCGCCGCCCTCTGCGCTGCCGGACTACCCTACTCGCCGTGACGATGCCGAAGCCGAGGGCGACAAATCGGAGGCCAGCGTTGGGGACGACGACGGCAGCAGCAACACTAGTAACCGCCGCAGCTCTTCGTCGTCCAATCTGCCGTCCAAGGCCTCGTCCGCGGCGCGCTCCATGGCGTCCAAGCTGGCGAAAAGCGGGCGTAAAGTTCTGTCGCCTTTAGCCAAGAGCCCCAGCAGCGTCACCTCCGAGACATCGGAGCCCGACACTTCCTCACCCAGCGGCGCGGCCGCGGACGCATCCATGGCCGACCCCTTGGCGTCCGTTGCGTCGCTCACCTCGGGGCTCACGTCGTCACTGGCCAGCGCGTCGTCGTCCTTCGGCTCGCTGCTCTTCTCGTCGCAGAGCTCCAGTGTCAGCCAAGCCGGGGACGAGGCCGAGGACCGCGCCAGCAACGCGGCCGATCGAGCCGCTGCAGAGGTGGCGGCAGCTGCGGCGGCGGCCCAGGAGGCGGCGATACTGCGCCAGGTGACGGCCCAGCAGCGGATGCGCATCCTGGAGGACCTGGTGCAGCACCGGCGCTCGGACTGGAACTACCTCAAGGCCATGCACGAAGGACCCAACTACTGGCTCAACGTGGCGCTGCTGAGGGAGCAGCAGGTGATGAACCACCTCGGAGACAAGCAGAGCATCCGGCGGGGCGCGCAGTTCTTCTACCTCGGTATTGGACTCGGCAGGCTCGTGGGGGAGTCGCTGCACCCGGAGCTGCTGGCCTTGGACTGCTGCCAGCTGCTGGAGGAGCTCGAGTTTTACTTCTCGTCGTCGACGGTGCAGGGAATGGTAAGGGAATTGATAGTGGCGACGTCAAGTACGCAGCATGAGCCGCTGGACCAGGAGAACAGTCCGCAGTACTCGGCCGACAAGCCGTTCCGACCCACGATGCACAACTGGCACCAGCGTCCGGTATATCGCCGTCTCATGACGCCTGGCTTGCTCGTTTCACGCTTATGTGGGGCTGCTGTGGCGCTAATACGGCGCGTGCTCTTGTGTACTTGTAGCCTTTCCCGCTGGACTACCGAGAGGTGTTGCTGTCGCTGTGCGACATCCTGGCGCTTATTTACAGCAAGCTGATCGAAGACAGCTCTGCTTCCGAGAACGTGAACCTGTTCCAGGCTATCATCCGGTTCGACGACCGTATTAAGGTGACGATTCCTGGCCCAGAGTTGCCGATACACTGCTGTTATTTGACACCACACTTGGATGTTGCTTTACCTGTAGAAACTCTTTATCGATCCGGTGAAAAAGGAGTTCTCCGCCGTAGCCTCGCAGGTGATGGCTGAGGTGATCGGCTCGTTCGCAAGACATACGCGTCTGGGACGCGAGATGAAGCCGTCCCCAGTGGCTCCCCAGCACCTGCACCCACCGTGGTTGCTACAGACTCCGGCAACACTTGTTACTTCGTTCGTGCTGAGTGGGTCGTGTGCAATCATTGACCGTGGCGAAAACCCGTTTGCATACACTACTATTAAGCAATTGAATCGGTTCGTGCTGGGAAAAAAAACACAATGGCTGTGGTGTCAGTGAAGAAAACTTGTGGGTTATCATCCCGACATCTAGGACGCGCTTCGCTCAGTTGTATTGAGCGGTAGGTCGCGTGACCAGCACGAACTCAGCGATCAATAGCGTGGCATCACGTGAGCAATAAGACATCTGACGAAAACAGTAGGTGCGATGACGAACCCTATGTCCATAAACACATGTAACTTACATGATGTAAGATGACGAATTATGAGAGCATTTTCACTGTTGGGCGATTTGTAGTGCTCGGGGTCGCGAAACGCTGCTGGTGCGAAGAACGAAGAACCTCGACCGTCCCTGCTTTCGACCGTCCCTGCCTCATGCTGCTCCTCCCTCACAAAAAACTATGACCTCTTGAGTCCAGTCTAAAATGTGGCATCAGAAACGGCCGGCGCTCACTCACAGCTATACTTTACTTAGTAGATTTACCGCAGAAACGCGAGCGCAAATATGCCGAGGAAAGCGAGAAACTTCGTGCCCACGTGGAAGAGCTTCAAGTCCGCGAGTGCGAGGACGAAATCCAACGCATCCACAAGCGCCACCAAGCAGAACTTGACAAGTTGCAGCCACAGAGTGTACCTGTACCAGTAGAAGACGAGAGCATGTGATCAAGACAAACGAGTGAAGTGACGAGTATGAAGCCATCGCCCCTCCACTAATGTACCGTGCTAATATTTTGTTACCTTGCCTATTGTTGTCAGCTCAGCGCGCTTTCGTATGTTGGGACCATGTACTTGATGTTAATAAATGCGTCCTCACCCCCTGTTCGTTCCAGCAGCTCCAGCGCAAGGTCCTGTGAACGCTGCTGTCGGAAATCTACATCATCTCCAAGGTAACGACGCTTGTTCTTGAACATGTTCAGTATCGGCAGGACCTGTCGGTAATACGGCACCAGCAGCGGCCCCACTCCTGGAGTTTGTGCGAGTTGCTGAAGCAGTAGCAGCGCGTCCCTCAACGCCCCATTATCCCGAGTGTCCAAGTTTGTGCAAAGCGCAGGTATGTTGCTTGCCTGGCTTACACAAAACACCCACGGCAACAGCCTTCTGGTCTTCCTGCAGCCGGTGCTTCATCTTGACTTCGAGTATGCCCACTGGTTGCATCCAAGTGTAAATAAAAGGTGAGCGTTTTATCACAAGTGTTGACAAGCAAAGATGCTAGCCTACTCATCCGTACCATTGCGTTGCCGAGGATGTGACGACGAAGCGATGCTTTTCGGGCCCGTGGAGAGCGGTGCGAGTTCCTTTTTCATTGTCGCCGCTGAGGATTAAGCGTGCAAAGCCCACTGGGATATTGGTAGATGTATGCACATCCCAGTACGTCCTGGGGTTGTCGAGCCTTGAAATTCGCCTACCGCTTCTCGCCGTGCCCAATATACACCATCATCGATGCAAAAATAGTCGGAGTTACTGCAACTGCCGGCATCTCGAATCGAGAACCCCTTCCTGCATTTGGCGAAACTTCACATTGGGTCAAAGCACGCTCGAACATGCGCGTCTTCATCACGGACTTGGGGTCGTCACTCTCGGCCGAGTTGGCACGCAACTGCCAGGATGCAGGACTCGAGGTCGTGGGCACGGCCGCCCGCGGTGGCAAGTCGGAGCTGGCGGCGCTCAAGCGCCAATTGCAGAGCAGAGCCACCCGAGCAGCGACGTTGAGGGGGCCGTCAAGGAGCTCGTCGCACTTCAGAGCGACCCAACGGTGTGGCGTCGACTTGTGCAGCTCGCGGACGTGGTCGTGGTCACCGCATTGGTGAGCGACCCGAAACTCGCCATGGAGACGCTCAAAGCTTGCGAGAAACGCGGGACGACGAAAGGTGACGAGGACGCGAACGAAGGCGAAGGGGACAGCGTGAAGCGTTTCATCGCCGTGTCCTCGGTGCTGTCGTGGAGCAAGAACGCGCCATTCGCTGCTTCGGGCGCAGGTGCCGCTCACGTTGAGGACGACTTCAAGTCGCGCCGGCCAGCGCGCAAGTACGCGGACCTCAAAACTACCGAGACGCAGATCTTGAGCGCGCATCGCACGGGGGAGCTTGAAACCTGCATCGTAGGTGCCGATGGTGGGGCCCAGTCACAGCTTCAGCTGATCTTCCGCGAGGCCTGGTTGAATCCGAATCGGCCGCTTTTGGTGCCGAGTCTTGCCGCCCCTACCCAAGGTCGAAATTTGCTGCCCATGATCAGTCTCTACGACCTGGCGCTCCTGGTTTTCCGCGTGGCAGCGTCGCCGTCGCCACCTCCGAAGAAATACTTGCTGTGGACAAGACCAGCAGTAGTACGACCCTGCGCGACGTGTGCCGAGGAGTCAGCACCTTGCTCGCCTCGGGGCACGTACGTGATCGCGACGACTCTACCAGTGCCGCTGACGGTGAAGCTGATGCACTGCTACTGGATGAGGAGGAGGAACTTGTAGCACCACTTCAGCTTCACTTGCGCTTCGACACGTCCGCTGGAGCGATGCATTCGTTGGTGGCACCGGAAGAGTGGCGCCACTATTCGCGCGGTCTTCTCGGGAATCTGGCCTTCTTCGTTGACGATTTCATCCATGCGATGGACTTGCGTCCACTGCGCACGGTTGTCCTTGGTGCACCTCGTGCCGGTAAAGCCCTGCTTGGCCGGCGACTTGCGAGAGATTCCTATCTGCCGTATTTGTCCCCGACGACGCTGCTGAACGAGCTTTTTGCGCCTGAAAACGACGCCGCGCCTTCACTTCCGACCAAAGTTGTTCAGGCTGATCCCGAGAGTGACGGAGGGCAGCAGGAGAACGACGGTGAGAAGCAGAACGAGGTCCCAGAGGTTTCAGAGACTCGGAAGTTGCGGGACGAGCTGCAGCAATGGGCTCCGACTTTAACCAGTGGCTCGAGTGAGAACACCCACCAGCTCCCTAAAACCGCACTGGTAGCTTTGCTACGTTGGAAGCTGCGCAGTGCTGCGTGCCGTAACCAGGCATACGTGCTTGATGGACTCCCGATCTCTGCGTCCCAGGCAAAATTAATCATCGCACCGGAGCCTAGTGGTGATGGCAACCCTGACGGAGAAGGTGAAGGGTCGGGCGAAGCTGGTGAAAATTGCAACAGTGGCCCAGTTGAGGCGGCCGATGGCGGTGAGGCTGCAGGTGGAGACGAGAATGCCGAGGGGGGAACTACTGCGCCAGCAGTAGATATCGAGGCGGTGCTGGCACGTCTGAAGCCCCGACGACTCGTTCTCGCGCCCAACCGAGTGATGGTGCTGCAGGCCCCGCGGACGCTGCTGGAGATCCGTGCGCAGTCGTTGTCGGAGGCTGAAGCTGAGCGCACAGAGAACACACAAGACGCATTTTTTCGCTCGGCGCTTTGATGAGTTCGAGGCCAACATTGAAGCTCTGGAGCTGTGTTCGAGAAGCCAAAGCATACTCCCGACGCGACTGAGCCGAAGGCAGAAGGTGTGGAAGTGCTGGAGCTGTCTTTGCGAGACGATCATGCATATCGTGACGAAGCCGCGTTCACTGCTCCCGTCCAGCGTTACATGGAGCAAGGAGGTCGAGCACCTCGCAACTTTCACCCTACGCGCGCTGAGCTGCGTGAACAGCGCCGTGCTGCCAAGAAACAAGCTCGTGAAGCTGAGATCCGTGCAGCCCAGCGCACTCAGGAGCAGGATGCTCAGGACGAGGCCGCTCAACAGGCAAAACTCGCTCAGGAACGCACACGGCTTGAGTTGCTACAACGCGAGGAAGTCGAACTACTGGAGACGCGAGCAAAGCCTCTGAGGACGTATCTCATGGACACCGTCTTGCCAGCACTCACGGAGGGAATGCTGGAAGTCGTCAAGGTGCAGCCCACCGATCCCATAGATTATCTGGCAGAGTTTTCTTTCGCAAAGGCCAGGAACTAGATGACGAAGCAAAGGAAGCTTAAGCCATGCTGGAATAAACGCAATGCATACACTGGCACCCTAGCTAAGGGCAGCCGTAGCGAAGTATCGTCCTGCGTGCTCGAAAGTTGATGGCGACACAAACATTAGAAGTTTTGCTGAGTATTGTTTCTGATGCTTGAGTAATTTTTCGCAAAACTGATTATCAGCGTATCCATGCCTGACTGCTGTGCGTGTCGGTATGTGAGACTGACAGTCGCGAATAGTCAACTTCTGAGGTGTTCGGCTTAAACTTTGGCTTTAAACATCTTTCAAAAGATAAAACTCACAGCCGGCAGTTAAAAAGGTTGGTATTGGTATTCAAGTTAAGTGACAACAACATGCTGAAACTGAAAACGAAAACAAAAAAGCTTGGTATTCAAAATTCTTGCCGGCCTGCTTTGCCGGGTTGTATTCTGTTGACGGCACTCTCTCTTCATACCGTCCACAACCCGATCTGCCTGTCATAACGCGTGACACAGGGCCGTCAACTCGAAGCAGACCAAGACAACCCCGGCACAAAGCTAAGCGAAGAAGGCGGGAGGCCAAAACGACGAAGATGTTTCTTATCTTATCGCCACGCATCCTAAAAACACACACAAGAGATATTTTGTCGCTGCCAGCGATTCGAGTACATTAAAGTAACCACTATCTCATTAATCTTCCATGCTGCCACGGACTCTTGCGATGCGCCCTGTGTTCTTACACGTCTCCGAAGTGTTCACTAGCTCGAAGTGATGTCGAGGTTTAGCTGGCGAACCTGAGGCTGGCTTTTATACATTACCCTGCAGCTCTGCCCAGCCACGAATGTATGTCGGGCTGCTCGTCGGTGTGTGCTGGTGGGCGCAAAATTCAACCAGTAAGTGAATGCGCGCCTCCGCCAAAGACAAACTTGGGATAGCCGTATTGTGAAGCATTAGCTGGCGCTATTGGGAATATTGTGGTTCAAAACCAATCAAAAGTCGTCAAGTTGGCACGTCTGTATTTTTGGAGCACCTTCTGTAGAAACGGTATGTTTATCTGTAGTTTCCACCCGCTCTCTTCTGAATCCGGCATCTGTGAGCAACTCTGACTACCCCTAATAGAGTAGTGGTGCTAGTGCAGTGTTACTGGTACCCAGATGCGTCTGGAATGGTCACCAGCATAAAAAGTTATCATTTCCTAGGATTTGCCACCGATGAAGTCAGCGGCCATTGACCGTCAAGAAGCTAGTACAGTATTCGGCACACCACTTGCTCAATGCGCCCAGTTCTTCAGTTTGCAATTCCTCGGCGGGTCGCACTTCGCCCTCAAAGCTTCACTCCCAATAGCCAGCCATAATGCGCGTCTTCCAACTCGCTCTGCTGGCTGCCGCTGCTCTTCTCGCCACTGCAAGCGCTTCAGTCCCCCCAACCGAAGTACAGTGCCCGAGACCCCAACCTGGAATCGCGCGTTTGCCTCGGAAGACAACACCAAACGCTCTCTACGGACCGACAAGTCGGCCGACTTTTGACTTCGACGAGGAGAACGAGGGGAGGGGCTTCGGACTGTCAGCAGACGTCAGGGCCATGGCAGTGAAGCTGGGCAACAAGCTGTTGTCGAAATCTAAGACTAAGCCAGGCAACCTTGGTCAAGCAATACTACAGCGAACGCAACGAGTTCGCCGATTGGTTTCTCAAGGGCAAAGGACACCCGTATATGTACGGTGAGCTGGGCATGGCAAAGGAGGGGGTAGGCAGCAAGGCGTACCTCAAGCTCATGCGCTACGTCGACTACTTTGAGCAGTACAAGGCCATTGCGATAAGATTCGGTTCCACGTTTAAACTAACTGGTGGTAGTAATGAGACAGCCCAGAGTAAGTAGGCTTCGACTACTTACTCTCAACCGACGATCAGCTTCATGACAGATAAAATGTAGAGGAACCGACAATTCCAACAATGTGCTCATTTTATTTTTCTTGTTGGTACAATATCGATACCCTTAATAAACTCGTCTCCGGAGCTGCCTAGCTTGCAGGGTACCATCCACCCACACGTGGCACATTCATACTCGAACGCATGAACCCTTCTTGTTGTTATATAGGTCGAGGGGATGGAGGCGGCGGGTGGAGCTCGTCCAGGATCGAATCCAGCCCGTTGGCCTTGTCTCCAGATCCGTCGCGAACGAGTTGTACGGCACCAGTGCGGACTCGTCCGTCCGCTCCACGACATACAACACCTGGCGGGACTTCTGCTTCAGCTCGATCAGGGAAATGCCAGCGTGCTCCACGAATGATTCAAAAGTGTACGACTTTTCACAGCAGGTGCACGTGACTTGGCGCGACAAGGTCACCGTCCAATTGAAGGCCAGTCATCCAGACTTGCGCGGGAACGAGTGGTCGGGCACCGAAGTGTTCGACCTCACCACGCGGTCTACAAGACTGCCGTTCGACATACTTGGGCGACAGACACACCACCAGCGCCAAAAAGTCCAAACTTGGCGGGTCCGACAATCGCGCCGCAGTCGAAGTCTTGTCACTCCGGGCTTGGGGCGCTTAAATAGCGCGAGCGCGCGGAGTCTGGACACTGTGGCTGGCAGCGCTTCCGCGGCGGCCTCCGGGTTCGTCATAGTCATCGTGGGGATTGCGACCGCTGCGGCTGCCTCTTGCCTCACCGCGTTTCTTCAGGATTAAAACGAGACACTGGTCGTCCTTCAGCATCTTCTTGATGTAGTTCGCGGGGAGCAAACGCTCCGGGCGTCGACACACGAATTTCTTGTGATCTCTCTCTTGGATTCCCCGTCACCCAAGCCCAACCAGCAAATAGGAGTAGGAATAAAATAAGGAGAAAAAACAACACTGTACTATTTGGCAGTCGTCGTAAAGTAAAAATAGTTTGTACTGTTCCGCTTACGTTTTCCGAAAGATGGCGTTCACCTCATCTTGATAAAAGTGTCCTCAGCGTTTCTGACGTTTCTTCTTCTTTTCACGCCGAAGTCGCTGCTGCTCCTTCTTCGCAGCTGTCTCAGTTTTTTTCACGCTTCGCGTCGAGGGGTCGATGGTGCTGAACAACCGAATTAAGTATACGTAGACTTGCTCTCTTATCGAGCTATGGTTTTCTCCATGAGAGTAGCCTTGAGGTCCGCAGGGCTGCACTTCTGTTTTCTTTACAGCCACGTAATGGCACCAACGTGTATACGTAATAAATTTGAGCAGATACTGCGACTACGTGCGAAAAGACTTCGTACGCGTAGGAGGGGAGACACTTTAGACCTCAGAGCTGCAGCGTTACTGCGGTACCTACGTCGGTGATAATAACTTGGCTTGTGTCCTTGGCAACAGACGTCATGAAAGAGGGAGAGGTCCCCCCAACCGAGTCTCCACCATTGCTCGTCGATGCTTCTGTCTGGTCACTTTCGCTTTAGACACTAGGCAGACCGTCAATCATGTTCGGACACGTACAGTTAGGGGTAAAGACTCGCTAACCATTGGGAATAAGTGCATGACGATCATGCTAACATTACTCAACGTACTCATATACTCTAGTATAGTACAATATATCGGCATACTAAAGGCAAGTATGGCAATATATAGGGGCAAATATTGATATTGGTACAATATTGATTCATGCTCTTTCGTAGGACGATACTTAGCCCCAGAGAGCCTACCGTAAGACAAAGCGTCTTACGTTTTGCAATCAACGCATTTTGGCTACATCTTGGTTTTAGTATACCAGTGGCTACATTGTATTTTGTCCGTCAAAACGTAAGACAGTTTGTCGGACAACAATTTGCACCATGCGATTGGCCAAAACTTTCAGAGGGTAGTGTCGTTGCGTGCGTTCCTCCGTTGAGCATGTAGGAACCCGAGGACAACCGCTTTGCCGTTTTTGAATTGCTCGTGCCACCTACAGTCGAGCCGACGAAATAAGGCGCTCGAACATGTAGTCGGTAGTGCGGCCCTACTGCCAACTACAATGTACACGCTTGTTTGAGAATGGTTAAGAAATAAATGCACCCGAACCATTAGCCCAGCTTGACAAACAAAACGTTCAGGGCTTTATAGTGAATTCTAGTTAATGCATAACCAAATAGAGCCCCTCTTCCTCCGGTAGTGCGGCCCACGAACCCTGTCGTGTCCTCTGAGGACGCCTCCGAGCGAAGCAGTGCACGACGAGCGCGCACACATGCTCCGCACCGAGGCGTTGTCGGAGGACGCGAGGGAGTAGACAATCAATACATTATGGGATCTTACCAAAGTCATGAAATGAACTGTTTTGTAGTAGCAACAAGGCAGCGTCAGCCAGTCTTGGTATTTGTATTTGTATTTGTATTTGTTGCGGTTTGCTTGGCTACCTTACTCCCGGAGGCGCACACTGCTGCAGCTCCACCTACGTCGGTAGTGGACACCACCGACCTCACCCGCGGCCACGTGTAGGTAAGCTGTTGGTGGTGTCGCAAACAAATAACTACAAAACGACGTGAGGGCCTCTAAGAGTCAAATGAGCGGCGAAACTTCTCGGGAATACATGAAAAATGCCAAAGCTAAAGTAATTGATCAGCCCGGCTGAAGGCACTTACCAGTTTGCTCGGCCTGCTACTGTAGTACTAGGAAATCTAAACGATCTAAGCTCGCCGTGGTGTCTTAAATATGTAGAGGGAGTTTGTTGGTGTCGCAGCGCTCCTCCGCACAGTTCTATCGAACCGCCAATCATTACTACCACTACTACGCTGCGCCCGATATTAGTCAGGATACGAAGTGCAACGAAATGCATCAAAAAGAGTAGCGAAGAGGAACGCGGGCCTTCCTAGCAGAGCCTGCGAGCACTCTGCGCCTGGCAGTGCCAACAGAATTGGCAAGTCGTACTATTCGCCAATCAAATCACTAGATTTGATTTGTCGTCAAACTGTCTTACGAATGCTCGACACAAGTGATTGTGATGACTGCCTCGCCGACAATCAATATCCAATATATATTGTCCGATCCCTGGTCGTTCGCGCCGTGCGAGTAAATCACGGCGTGCTGCGTCATGACTGCTTGACGAAACACAGGCGACTCTGGGTGGTCGGGCGAGAAGATCCGCTGGATCGTTGGGTAGTTCTTGTTGTACTCGTGGTCTCTCGACAAGAATTGCGGGATGTTGTGTAGCTGGACGCGGTACGCCAAGGACTCGAGTCGGTCGTCGTTGGACGTTAGCATGGATAGAAGCCCGGCCGAAAAGCTCGAGTGCACAGAGTAGCGCACAGGTCCGACCTCTTGCAGCTCGGCGTCTTCGTCAAAGCTCACAGGGTGCGAATTCACCTTGATACTAAGTGTGCCGGCGTTTCTACCGGCCATGGTGATCGGCAGGTCGAACGCAGTCTCCGTGGCATACATAGCGGTGTCGGCAATGAACTGCGCCTCGCCCAACTCGTCGTCGGCGTCCACATCCTTGTCGAACAGCGAAAGCTTGAACACCAACGAGTGCTGGACATTCTTGAAGACGAACTTCTCGTTCCACTCAGGCTTGAGCGTGTCGAAGATCGGCCGCGTCCAGGCCACTTTCTGGCCGTCGATCTCAATGTAAACGTACGCGTCCCTCGACGAGAACTCGCCCTTGAGAGCGGCCTTGAGGCCGAGGTAGTCACCGGTGTCGATGCCCTGGAGAACGAATGCAGTCGTTAGAATGGGGAGCAGAAGTGCAGAGATACGCTCGTGACCACACGCACCTTGGCCGACACAATCTCGAGTTCGATATCGAGCAGACTGTCCGGGGAATCGAACGTGACGGGCATGCTGGTAGGGACAGTGGAGGAAGCTGCTGCTTGATGGTGGCGGGGGAAGTTTGGGTCTGATCGGTGCTGGCCAGGACCACAAAATTTGTGAGACGGCGCAAACAAAATCGTAACAGTAGCGCTGCTCGAGTCTCTTCGAGGCTCTTCGCGCACGAGGTCTCTAGCCTTCTGCTCGCATGATACTTCAAACCTGCGTTGCTCTTTTTGGCTTGGCTCCGTAGCAATTGCATCACGCGATCGCAGCAATTCCATGCGCACATTTTCTGCTATGTTGTCCTCTGCTCCACAAATACTCAGCATTGATCACCTCTTTCTACAGCTCTGTTTATGCTACTCAATGTGAAAGCTACTTTCCTCTTCTGCTAAACGCAAGACCCGCTTGCTTGCTGCCTCTGCTGGCTGCTCATCATCGGCGGTGTACGAAACACCATGTTTCTACATCGTTTTTAAATGCCTGGGCTGTACTGGTACAGCCCAGGCAATTGAAGCTCGAGGGCCATAATGAAAGCCACTCACTTTCGCTTCCTAGCCGCAAGTGGTACATCTCAGCGGAGACCATATTTACGAGTACGATCTCATTGGCCGAAAGGGCCACTTAAACGAGTGATCTGTGTACTTTTAACGAGTGAGGTGGGTGCGAGTGTCCCTACCGCAGCATCTCGTAAAAATTCATTTCTATAGAGCGATCCATAATAGCTTCAATTAGCCATTAACCTAAGCCAGGATAGTACCGTGCCTTGCTGAAAAAAATATGCGAAAGTAAATGGCTTCAAAGCGAGAGTCAAACGAGGACCCCTCTTGACATCTAACTGGGGCCTCGAAAGAGGACTCGAGACGCGCTACTGTAGCTCAACTTGAAGCTGCGGAAAGTTTGAGTCACTTGAGTTTAGTATGAGTTATGTATGTTATCTTCAACTTCAATTGAACTTTACCGGTAGGCTTCTAAAATCTAAAGCGTTTTTAAGGTGCGGCACATCGTTGTGTATAACACACAAAACAGCGGTCGCTCCTGTATGGGCAGCTTGGCGGTGCTAGGTGCAGAACGCTCGTTGTGTATGGATGCAGCTACCCACGTTAAACAGTGTAAGGTCTGGCTGTATTATGTAGCACTACACCAGCGCTGTGCATTTGTGACGGGGACACGCAATGTTGATATTTACTACGCAGTGTACAGAACTTCGCGATTATGGTCGTCTTGTCTTCACATTCGCAGCATTACTATAGCTAGCAAAACGGCATTCGGACCGACAGCAAGTTGGATCGGATCTCCCAGCACGTCGAGTTTCCGCGCACGAGAACAGCCGGTTCTTCATCATCAACGCTTAGGTACAGTGCCGTCTTTACTTACTACGATGGAGTGAGAAACTATGGTTCTCATGCAAACGTTGTTTTCTATCTATCGCTGCCACAGCTTCCGTCATATGTCCATTAACTAGTTAAGGAGAGCCTTCTGCCACTAGTAAATGATACAAATACGTCGTATTGTAGTAGAATGTCCTTTTGCGCTCGAGGGCCAGATTGCTGTCAGGTGCCCGCGTATGCCACCCGAAGAATGGAGCTTCATCGAAACACAAACATTTGATGGTCGAAAGAATGCAGAAACGCAGTCCGTGACACCTTGTTCGTCGTAGTACCGTATAGTTGGCAACTCACGCCTAGCGTTGAGCTCAGTTTTGGTCATGTCGGTTGACGACTACAGCGTCCAATCAACTACTATGGATACGTAACGAGACGGGTAACAACTAATACCCGATTTTACCGATGTGATTAGGTATTAGGGTCAATGTAAAACACATAAAGTGGTGTCTGCCACATATGATTCCCTTTTAAATCCGGATATATCAGGCGTCTCGTTCTCAGTACTGTATGTCAAGGGTTCGTGATATATACCAGAATTTAAAGAAGGTTGCTTGTTAAGGGCAGAGGTGGTACCTTCTGTATGAGCTCATACAAAAACAAAGCTAAAACTACTAAAGTTGCCAAATCAGAGGCCGCATACCTTGAAGTACCGCCGAGTTTATTGAGACCACATTTAGGTCTCACCAGATGTGAAGTGGTGTTATGTTAGGTCTATCAACTCTCGCAGGCCTTGACATATAGGCCGATAGGGTGGTTTTGGGCGGCGTCCAATACTTTAATATTTTAACAACTTCTATGTTCCCATTAATGCCGAAATTGGGTGCATCCTGAAATCACATTTTAGATTTGTGACGCACATTTGTCCAGGTTATGATACATTTACTGCGTGATTATACTCAACGTTGCTGCCTCTACGGAGAAAAATAGTACTGAAAGTACCATTATTTTGTTGCTACTTGAGGGTATCATATGGGGTTTTGTATAGGATGGTCACCCCTTTTGGCAACCCCTTTTGACAACCTCATTTTACGTCACAAATTTACTCCACTGCTCGTTTTCTTTCACTTTTGCTACGAGACCAATTTGTGATTTCAGGATGCACCCATTATGACGATTCCACTTTAAATCTTATAATCCATACAAATCAGCATGTTGAGCTTTGACATCCGTATGAATCCTGTGCAAGCTACTCAAGCCAATTTGTTGCAGCTAGTACTCTTGTGCAGCTGATATGTTTGCAAATTCCGGCCTCATAGTCACCTGCGGCTTACTTTTCCAGTTGGGCAGCTGGCTTGGGCAGGGCTAAGCAAAATACAATATGATATTGATTGGACTCTCCAACCTTCCCCAACTAACTAGGGCTCCGCGTAGGCTGGGATAGGAGGACCTTGGTATAAACCCCTTTTCCTTTTTTTTTCCTTTTTATTGATTATTTTTCTTATTAGCTGCGGTCATCTCCTGCGCCTGCTTCGCAGCCGCAGCATCTGCCCGAAAATTTGCCTTAAATCTGTAGAAGCAAGATATCAACCGGCAATGATTTACAAAATAAAAAATGTGAACCTTGGTTGAGATCTGTTTGTAGCTTATAGAAAATGCAAATGCTTACCTCTAGTGCTATTGTCAGTCCACTTCAATCGTTCTCGTTACTTCAATTCGTCAATATATGTACGGATTCATACCAGTGTCGTCGGTAGCACACCGGTTCGAAGTGCCCACGCATATAAACCTTTTGGAGGGCCCAGTGCGGCACCGGAGTCGAACCGGTTGCTAGAAAATGTACCAGTTAGATGTCAAGAGGTCGTTTGACTTGACGTACCACGGATATAATCCGATTTGGTCTGCGATAGCAGCACTAACGTTGTTTCCTATCCCAGTACAATTGGGTTATTTTCTTATTTCCCCTCACTAATGTAGCCACAACTCAAGTGTAGAGTTAAAAAGAGTTAACCATAAAGGCGAGAAGAACAAAAGTGTCTAATTCATGTGGATAGTTTACTTCGGTTTCCCATCATCGTACATCGTACCCTACGCTTACCAAAGCATGCCTTAGATCTCATGCACCTGTAATTCAGATACAAACCTCACAAGGTTCGAAATTTTGCTTTTAGTATAAGCATTCTATTACAATTGAGCTCGATTTCTGTAAGATTTTCACAGCAAAAGTAAGTAGCAACGGTTCTTACTATTATATACTTATTAGTGTTTTAACCTCCTCTTGCACACCAATTGCCGTCGACTTCATGGGGAAGTGATCATACCAAGCACAAATTGTATAGATTTCTGCGCCAGACTTCCTATTTCTTATTGCACGAAATTGGTGACGGGGTATCAGTAAGTTATTCCCGTACGTTACTGCGAGTTGTTGTTACGGATATTGAAATTTACCGATCCCTGGGCTTGGATGTTTTAATTAAGGTGTTGTCATCTCGAACCGCATATTTTAATTTGATGCCACTAAGGCTCGGTTTCGGCAGGAGCTGCACCTATACGATTTCAAAAACGCTGAATGCGTCTCGAGGTTTGATTTGGTTTTGCAGCGGTTATCCGTCCATGCCGCTCCACCAAATGAAGTGGTTTTGTTTATTCTAATCGTGAGCTTGCCATATACAAACGCAAAGCACCTGACAAGTATGTATTCTTCGACTCGCGAGTTTGAATGCAGATGCGGCGTTCAAAGTGTAAAATTCGCTATCCAGCAAGTAGCGCTATAAATCTGTCGTTTGGCTGCTCGGCACGATGACACCTAGGTAGCCTGATCGACATGCATCCTCATCTACAATACCGGTTAATTGCAGACGGTAAACTAAAGTAGTCTTCCAGTATCTAGTATTTACACGGCATCTCATCCGGCAGGCAGAGGAAATGCCTGTGAATAGTACAATTGTGACAATAGTAACGGGAATGCGGCACATCTGCTGTTTATTGTACTAGAAGTATTGCCGTTTGCAGATATTTTGGCCAACGCATGCTTATTATCTCGTTAATAATCTCGATTTTAATCCAGCCAGCTCTTAATTAAGACCTAGGTCTGATTTATATATCTCGCCAGTACGGTCTAAGATCCGAGCTTGGGGCTCTGTTTTCTCGACCAAGGCGCTTTTCTACGACTTGGAAACGCAGAAATGCCATTCTAGACGGGCCAAACCGAGTTTCTGGGCCTAAAAGCGGCCCCCAGCAAAGCATAAAAGCTAAATCAGCCCTCGCCTATCTCGTGTCCACTCATATTAAGAGACAGGCGTGGTCTATTTTAGAGGTCTATTTTAGAGGGCAAAGTATTTGCAAGCGGCAATACTTGGCTAATAGCCAAACACTTCTATCCGACGATGTTGTCAAGCATCTTTATCACCACCCGGGTCCCCAATAGTACCAATACTACTGCACATGTTGTATGCACTCTGTGAAACTCGGTCTTCGTATCTATTATATCGGTAGTGAGCGATTTCGAGGAGTGTACATGTAGGTAAAGCATTTGGGCTTAGCGAATAGGAGCTAATTGTTGTCTTGCTGAGTCCGGTCCAACCCCCAGGATGGAACAAAGTCGTGCCTGCGGCCCGAAGAAGCTCTGAAATTTGAGGTTTTCTATATGCTCGGTCTCATTGCGTTTACTAGAATTGTGCGACCTTATCCAAGATGAAGAAATATGCGCCCATGGTGTAAATGCAGCCACTGTAGAATAGCTATGCGTGGAATTCTCTATTCCGCCATGTAATAGCGATATGCCTCGTACGTTCTTACCTGTTTGCTCGTGATTTGCCAGTCCGATCAAGGATGTTGCAGGTGCGCTAGTATTCGCAGCTCGAAAGATTCGAACTGTCGTTAGGCCAGGCGCGTGTGTCATCGACATTCTCACGACTTTCGAGCAGCATACCCATTTCAATGCCGTGCCAACGAGTCTGGAGTAATTTTCATTTTTAATGTTCTGTATGCTTTGAAGTGCACACGGGGCAAATGCTGCGGCTACGAAGCAGCCGCAGGAGATGCGGATAGATCGTAAAATAAGTACGTCCTAACTCAAAACACTAAAATAATTCTTCGAAGTACACGTAATCCAAAATCCTCCTATCTCAGCCTTCGTTTAGTCATAGTGCTGTTTGTGTAGAATGACTTGGCGGGTGTGTCCGTGCTATCGGATCTCCTATCGGTATATTTTCACCCCTGAGACTGCGAATCCCCGGACCACCAGTCCCCGAATTGGCACATCTGCACAATCGGGGGTTTCCTAGCGCGTCCCACGCGCGGACGGAACGCCTGGCGTCAGTGGCTGGTGCCCGTGCTGGCAGTTCCTTCATCTTGCAAGATCTTGGTCATCGAGTTCACAGCGTTGCTGGCGCAGATCTGCTGCCTTGAAAAACCGTAGAGAGACCGAGGCAGCGTCACCGTCGGTGAGCCGTAGCTAGCTACTGTTCCAATTCGGCGTCGTAGCCAACCACTTAAGACGGGTAGTAGTTTAGTTTTGTTATGAGCTCTCGAAAATATGCGGTCCTGTAGTGGTAGTTGTCTTAATGCAGGCGTAAGAAAAACTTCTGATCGAGCGCGAAATAAAGGCATCATAGCAAACGGTTTATATGCGTGGGCAGATTGAACCGGTGCACTACCGACAACACTGGTATGAATCAGTATATGTATGGGTACGTATGAACGAAATGAAGTAAAGACTAAAGGTAAGCAATTGAATATTTCTACAAGCTCTAAACAGATATCAACCAAGGTTCGCACTTTTCAACTTTGTAAAGCATTGCCGGTAGACAGTTTTAACTGGCAAATTTCCGGGCAGATGCTGCGGCTGCGAAGCAGGCGCAGGAGATGACCGTAGCTAATAAGAAACTATAATAAAAATAAGGGAAGGAATTTATACAAAAAATCTCCTATCCCAGCCTTCGCGGAGCCCTAGTTGACAATAAATCTGATAAAAAAAGTCCGCTGGCATTAATTTTTCGACTGATTGATGCTAAAAATTTTGGTCACTAAAAGCACTGCTTAGTGACCAGAATTTACTAGGGCTCCGCGAAGGTATAAACCCTTTATTCTGGGATAGCAGTAACCCCTGAGGGAGTGCTGTGTGTGGCCAGCCCAACACAGGTTAATTCGGCGTCACCCCGGTAACTGGCTCCGGTAAACTGAAGCCGGTAACTGAAGCCGGCGAACTGAAATAAACTGAATATTTGCGTTGATGCTATGGGATGACGCGTTCTCCACCAATCCCGAATCTCGGCTCCAGCTTTGGACACTACGGCCGCGGGTGCAAGCTAACGATGTTGCAGCGCTTCAGCGGTTCTCTTGACGTGGTCCGTGGGTGCTTTGGAGGACGAGGGGGTAAGGCCTGAGACAGCCTACACGGCAGCAAATGGTGAGTGCTTGGACAGAGTTTTCTGCGTGTCGGCTAAGTAGCACTCGCAAGTATGTACGTAATATTGCGCAAGTGCACTCGCGGATATATCTTTCGCGCGATTGAGTTGTCGTACCTATTTAAATGTGCAATGATAGTTGGCGAGTGTAGCGCGCGTGGCCGCGAGAGACTGAGGTACCCTCAGGCATGGTGCTTTGGCTCCGTATGTGATTGCTAGTTTTAGTGATGCTGTTTAGGCTGCCCCCGGTGGGTATCATATAGACGCGTTATCGGGCAGATGCTGCGGCTGCGAAGCTGGCGCAGTAGATGCCCGTAGTTAGAATCGCCTGCTTCGCAGCCGCAGTAGATGCCCGTAGTTATAATCAACTAACTGTATTTCTTGACTCGAATTCTGTGTTAGATCAACATTTGCGCTGCAAAACCGCTATCATGGCTCGAGCGTAAAATCTCAACTGATACTGGCGATACATAACAAGGAGACCCGAATACGAGTCCTTGCTCCCACGTTTATCCATTAGAAAACGTACTTGCACGTACAACCTTTTTACCGTGTCTGTGGTGTTGATCGATGGTGTGGAGCTGATGCAGCCATACAACGAGTACGAGGGATTGTCCGTCCAAACAAAACTCCGTAATGTGTCGTTTTTTCGACTGCTATACGCCAACATGTTTGATCATTTAACTGGTCCTATGGACGTAGTAACTCGAAATCAAGTGTCGAGGACACGCCAACTACTTGACTTCTTTATTTTTTACATGCACCGCCTCGCCGAATAAGACACAAATGCACTGTACCGCAGCCCCGAGTTTGCCTCACCCAACGTTCCTTAGCTATCCCAGCCTACTCAAAGCTCTCGTACTGGGATAGCAGTGGCCGATAGATCATGCTGCTAGGCAACCCAAATCGGGTTATTCGCGCCTCGGTAACTGAAGCCGGTAACTGAGGCCGGTATCCGTGGTCCTTTGTCGCTGTCTGTCTTTCTATTGGTGACCCGGTAGCTGAAGCTGGTAACTGAGGCGATATCACTTTCTGTCTAGTAGATCTAAACATCAATCGTGTTGCACCTTCAGCATTTCGAATTCGGCGCAGATCAAAGTCGTGGCGATCTACACTCCGCTCCCCCAAGAGATGAGTTTCGCACCTGAAAAAGTTCGCATATCGAACCGCTGCCTTCGTACAGCTGACGAAAAGAAGCGACAACACTAAGTGATGCCCATCAGCGAGACCAGCGCGCACTCACAGCCTACGACGACTAAGAGACAACACCCGTCAGCTGAAGCTACTCTAGTTTAGCGTCGTAGTCAACCTGGACAGTCATGTTAGTTTGGGGTCCTTGATGGTGGTACTGCGGCAATTGTTGTCGCCCCCAGCCAGGGCATGCGGGTGGATAGGTAGGTACGACCGCTACGAACGACAAGTTTTCAAGTTGGGAGTGGTGTCTATAGCTCATCGACTAGAAGATGTGGCCACGCTACCTTGCGACCGGGTCGCAAGGGGTTCTAGACTTATGGGGCCGCAGCGACCCCATAAGTTTAGAACCTTTAAATGACAAGACATACGAAAGCGCAACATTTACTAAGAACTAATATAATGTACCAGGATTTTCGTAAAGGTATCGCTCACGAAGCCGTCTGGACTCATAGCGCATCTTACCACTTGCCAGGCAAAAGAGGCGGTGAATAGTTAAACTTCTAGCGATCGAGGTTGCAGCCGGATTTCTCTTCGATTGTCGTTATATGCGTACTCCAATGTAGCTGGTAGTTGTCAGACGAAAACAATTTTCGACTGCAGTGTTTCATACTTCAGATTCTGAAATAGTACTTCTGAAGTTCAGAAGTACTATTTTTTGTTTCAAAAATCCGGGTTGCCCCGTAAAATTGCTATCCCAGCCTATGCATAGCCCTAGTTTTTATTTTATTAATTATTTTCTTATTAGCTACGGCCATCTCCTGCGCCTGCTTCGCAGCCGCAGCATCTACCCGGAAATTTGCCCTAAAACTGTAGATGCAGGATATCAACCGACAATGCTTTACAAAACTAAAAATGTGAACCTTGGTTGAGATCTGTTTGCAGCTTGTAGAAGATACAAATGCTTACCTTTAGTGCTATTATTCAGCCCGCTTCAATCGTTCTCTTTGCCCAGTAAAATTCCCGATCAAAGCGGTTCTAGTGTCGCCAATGATCTACAACAAAGCTCATTCTGCACATACACACATAGTGTGTCAGGATGTGCGAGGAGGCGGCCAGTTCGGATCTTATCGAGTACAGGGATGAGCGTCTATAAGAGAGCGGGTCTCAAATCATCTTAGGCGGGTATACAAACATAAAGGCCTTTATGTGTGCAACATGTTGTACTTTCGAGTTTAATATTATAACTTTGTAAAAATATGTGTTTACGACGCGCTCTTATAGGCGCTCATCCCTGTATAGGGACCACATAATGGATACATAAAACTGAAGTTTGTGCGACTAGCGCAAAAGTTAGCCATGTGAACCGTCTCATCAATTGCGGATTGACAGGGTACCCATGATTCAAGTCTGTTGATGTTGATTTATTGAAAGTTTGAGGCCAATAGCGCGTTCTTCCTGCCCCTATGTCGATTATTTCAGAGTCCGTCGCGTTGAGGAACGCGATCATTGGGGAAGGCAGCACGCTCTCTATCGTCATCGACAAGAATGTGACGATAAATCACCTGAAAAAAATGCGATCAATGCGAAAATTGAAGACATCGAGGTTCCTGCGCGCAGCTTGCAGCTTTTCCTGGCAAAGAACAATGACGCATGGCTTCAGTCCGACACTGAAGCCGTAAAGAAGCTGAAGACGGAAAAAATATCGGCTCTTATTAAAGAGCTGACACACAAAGATCACGAGCTCCAGGCCAAGACGTGCTGAAAGGTATGCCCGACCCCTCCACCGATCAAATCCACTTGCTGGTACGCGACGAACAACCTATTGTGCAGCAAGAGGTTTCTCGCAAGCGCAGCCGAGTACGTGATTGGTTTCACGACGTGTCCCGTCAATTCCAAACGAAAAGGAGAAGAGTGGGCAACGGTGATCGTGCCATACAGTACTTCACAATGTCCGACTTCCCGCCTTTAACGTCAACAGCTTGATCCAGTGCGCCATGACACGCGACTGCTCCTCGGGGATCGTGGCTGCGCGTCCGAACTGCTTGTTGGCGACCAGCGCCTGCTGCATCAGGTTCTTCATCTCCCGGCTCTTGAGCATCTGCGCCAGCGAGATGCGCTTGTCGGACGCGGCAGCTCCCGCTCCGGTGACGCTTGACGACGCGTGTCCAAGCCCCGTGTCGGCTGCGTTGTTGTGTCGACTCACCCTGCGCACCACGCTGGACATGACCGACGAGCACGAATCGGTCGGCTGCTGCTACTGCTCCTCCTCCGCCACGTTCTCCGTGGACTTCTGCAGCTTGCGCATGGAGATGACCGACTGCGCGGCTCGACTGAAGCCTCGCAGTCTGCCGGGTTGGAGCTGGCTCTGACCAGCAGCAGAGCTGGAGCTTGTAGTGGCTTCATTGGGATCGTCTACCGACTCGTTGGTCTCCGATACGCGGGCAACAGTGGCTGCTGAGCTCGTCATAGGCGTCTTGGCTCTTGGAGCGACCTTCACACTCGCGATTCGCCCGCGACTGCCACGCGCGCGGCCTTTTCCTCGTCGACGGAGCTTTCAGGTGCATCGCAAACCTGCTCAACTTCTATAATAAGCTTAATAATACATGTACTTCTGTAAATGGCTACACTGTCAACATGTAGCCATGTGCGTCATCATCTAGTGACCTGCCTCCCATCATGCCATGATTTTCATAAGGTCCGGGTTTTAAGCCAATCACCTGGCGTTCCTTCCCACACTCCAGCAAGTGGGCCCAACACCTCATGGCCACCACGAGCGCCTCTGTGGCGGAGACTCCTGCGCACCCAGAGACGCCACAGACAGTAGATCCGACGATCTCTTCGTCTTTGTAAGACACCGGAGCAGGTGCCGACCAAGTTGCAAGCGCGGAGATGACTTAGAGACGCAGGAGACGCAGGAGACGCAGCAGAAGCAGACCCCGTTTGACGCCAAGAGTGTAGCCATGAAGAGCAGCGCAGACGGTGTCAGTAGCCGCACCAGCCGCCCGAGAGCTGCAGCTGCAGCGGCGAATGCCGAGATGGTGAAGCAGGTCAAAGGCGAGGAAACACCATTGAGCGTCGTGTTTGCCAAGGCCGCGAGCGATGCAGCAGCCAGCAAACCCCCACAACAACGTGCCCCAGCGGACCATGCAGCCAAGACTCAAGATGTAGCTATGTTACCTGATGATGCTGACGATGTAGCCATCATGAAGGAAGAGCAGCCTCCAGCCGAGGAAGGCAGAAGGAGGCCGTCCAGAGCTGCAGCCGCTGCTGCGAACGCCGGAATGGCTCGACAAGGTAAAGAGGAAGAAGGTTCGCTGGGCATGCTCTTGGCTTCAGCCCAGGTGCGGCCCATGGAGCAGGAGCAGGAGGTGGTGGAGTCCAAGCCTACAGTGACAAGAAGCGTTCGGGTGAGATGGCTACACCTCCCGCGAAGAGGCCTCGAGTGGCGGCAACGACAGCGGGCAGCACGAAAGTGGCGCAAGACACGCTGGAGCTCACCAGCGCTGAGCAGCAGCCGCAGCGGGGCAAGAAACGACGCCAAGCGCCCGTGTTCGAAGCTGCGCCGATCATCACGGACCTGCCGCCGCTGCCGTTCACGACCCCCAGTGCCGAGCTGAAGCTGAAGAACAAGAGCAAGAGCAAGAACAAGCACGCGGCTGCAACCACAAAGACCAAGGCCAAGCAGTCCGTGGAGGAGGCGGCAGGAGACGACGCCCGTCACTGCGAGTTCTGCAGGAAGGCGGCGAATGTGTGCGTGCTGATGCACTGCCACGCGTGTCGACGGGTGTACCACGCCAAGTGCTTCTGGCACGCGTTCAAGCCGTACGTGGATGCGAAGGTGTCGATTCTGGACCAGCTGAAGCGTCTGCAGCTTGAGGCACCCGAGCGTCGTGGCAACATCTTCCGGTGTGCGTCGTGCAGAGCTGCGTTTGTGGATTTCTGTGAGAGCGGCGGGTATCTCTGGGAGTGTGACTGTCCGACGTGCGCGCAGCCGGAGAAGGCGATTTAGTACCGGCAGCGGAAACTGGTGCAGATGATGAACGATATGGAACTAGAGAAGCAGCGCAAGAAGGACCAGAAGGACAAGACCAAGAAGAGCGGCGCTGCAAAGCCACCGACCTCGACACCGAGCCGCTCAAACTCGACGTCACGCAGTCAACGTACACGAAGAGGCAGCGCAGCGCTCGATGATGGAGTGCTTAACGCGCGGACAACCAAGCCTTCAACATCGCGGAGCGTGCCACCTGAAGGTCTTGATGTGAAGAAGGAAGGAGACAATAATGCCGAAGGTCGTGATGTGAAGAAGGGAGAGGATACGAATGCTGGACCTGTGGACGGGGTTAATGGCAAGAAAGATGCAGTAAAAGCGGGAAGTGAAGCCAAGGCGGTGCCGATGGACGTGGACGCCGGGGCTGACACCCAACCTGGTTCAGGTGAGCCAGGAAGTGCTGAGAAGACTACACATGGACCGGAAATGGAGCAACATGTCAGCACGGTAGCGGAGCGACAACAGGAGTCGCACCCAGCAGAAGCTGCCACGCAGCATCAAGAGACCAAGACCCAGCCAGAGCTGCAGCAACTAGCACAATATGCTGCTGCTGCCAAGAAGGAACAAGCAGAGCTTCAGGCAAACCAGGAGCTGGTCCCCGCGAAAGCAGGAAGAACAGTCCGTGAAGGTGAAGTACGAGCCTGTTGGAGAGCCCGAGCAGCCTGATCTGAAAGGGGACGAGCTTGTTGGCGCAGTGCGCGTACATCACGAAACGAAGACTGAGCGCTGGTGCTTCCCGATCGTGTGCTCTCGGACAACGAGTCTTCGAGTGTCGGGTATGATGAAGTTGGGGACGTGCAAGTGGCCGCTCAAGAAGAGAGCCGTCATTCAGTGCGCGTGCTGCGATAAGCTGTTCGGATACCCCGAGTTCGTGCACCACACAGACAGCAGCTTGGTCAAGGACGCGAAGTGTGCGACGGAAGACCCGATGCCGTACCTATTCGTCGAACACCGGGATACCACGCTCCACACACCACTCGACGATTTCCTGCCTGCTCTTAGGAGTTGGGCTGGTCGTCAGAGCGCGAATAACCCGCCCACCAATTCGCGCAGAGGGCACGCGTTGAGGCGAGAGGCAGCCGCAGCGGTCGCAATCCCCACGATGAATATGACGAACCCGGAGGCCGCCGCGGAAGCGCTGCCAGCCACAGTGTCCAGACTCTGCGCGCTCGCGCTATTTAAGCGCCCCAAGCCCCGGAGTGACAAGACTTCGACTGCGGCGCGATTGTCGGACCCGCCAAGTTTGGACTTTTTGGCGCTGGTGGTGTGTCTGTCGCCCAAGTACGTGATGAACATGTCGAACGGCAGTCTTGTAGACCGCGTGGTGAGGTCGAACACTTCGGTGCCCGACCACTCGTTCCCGCGCAAGTCTGGATGGCTGGCCTTCAATTGGACGGTGACCTTGTCGCGCCAAGTCACGTGCACCTGCTGTGAAAAGTCGTACACTTTTGAATCATTCGTGGAGCACGCTGGCATTTCCCTGATCGAGCTGAAGCAGAAGTCCCGCCAGGTGTTGTATGTCGTGGAGCGGACGGACGAGTCCGCACTGGTGCCGTACAACTCGTTCGCGACGGATCTGGAGACAAGGCCAACGGGCTGGATTCGATCCTGGACGAGCTCCACCCGCCGCCTCCATCCCCTCGACCTATATAACAACAAGAAGGGTTCATGCGTTCGAGTATGAATGTGCCACGTGTGGGTGGATGGTACCCTGCAAGCTAGGCAGCTCCGGAGACGAGTTTATTAAGGGTATCGATATTGTACCAACAAGAAAAATAAAATGAGCACATTGTTGGAATTGTCGGTTCCTCTACATTTTATCTGTCATGAAGCTGATCGTCGGTTGAGAGTAAGTAGTCGAAGCCTACTTACTCTGGGCTGTCTCATTACTACCACCAGTTAGTTTAAACGTGGAACCGAATCTTATCGCAATGGCCTTGTACTGCTCAAAGTAGTCGACGTAGCGCATGAGCTTGAGGTACGCCTTGCTGCCTACCCCCTCCTTTGCCATGCCCAGCTCACCGTACACAAATCGGTGGTTGGACATCCCCTAGCATTTTCGATACACCGCGTGCGACTTATCGGTGATGTTGGGGCCGCCAGGCCCCGACATTTCCGACATTTGCACCCGAACTCCGACAATCTCCGCCGCCGGCGGAAGCATATCAGGACACTATCAGACTGTAATTTGACGTAGTTAGGAGTATCTGCACAAATGTATTACTTGCGAGGTATCGTGAACGCAAAGTAGGCTTGGATGTTCAGGTTCATTGGTATCTCCGACGACCTGAACGATGGGTGCGAGCGGCGTATACGTCCAGGCCCTTTGCCTAGTAGTATTCACATGTTGTAGGAATGAAGTCCGCGCTATCAGATGCTCTAGATGCAAACAAGGAGACATATATGTGAACGCAAAGCGACTGCTGCGTGATAGCGCTAGTTGCACGTCCTCTAGGCCCGCTACGCAATGCATTCTTCAGTAGTACATCGTAGTAATAGAGGAAAGAGCACGAAGGCATCCTCCTGACACTAAATTGAAGCCGTAGTCCCCCGCAACAGAGCCCTTAACGCAGTTATTCACTGGATTGAAGATGCACTATGTAAGGGTGACTCCCACACTAAAGTAGGGTTTCTAAACTACATACCATGCTCCGTGGTGCCCTACGAAGGTTGTCAAGAAGCTTTGAGCCGCCCAAAGCGTGCTACAGCAGCGTCACGGTGTTGAAGGGAACCGGGACACTGAAGCGGGACACATTCGGTGGCAAACGGTCACATTAGGTCCGATCCGGTGCAAATCGGTGGTGGGACATCCCCTAGCATTTTCGATACACCGCGTGGTGTATCGAAAATGCTAGGGGATGTCCACAGGGAGCGTTCTAGCTTGAACATTAACTCGCCTTGGGATTAAAACTACACCCTATCCCTAAAACCCCCTTTACCCTTGGGGCACAAAACCCTAGACCCCCCTCTACCTCCCCCGGAGGGGGAGCACCTCGCGTTTAAGACCGCATATTGATTCCGATTTTTAAGTCGCGATTTCTCAGCAACTGTAGCTGGTATCAGCTTGGTGGCGGCGGCTCCGTAAAGCTGCCGATTTCAGCTATATTTTGGAGTCTTCAGTGGCAGATGGAACAGCCAAACATAACAGCGCCCCGATTTCTCCTATTTTCAGTTTAAGGCCACGATTAGACTTGCTTTCAGAATGTATCGACGCCTGTCAGCCAAAACAGTACCGTTTAATTTCACTTAGGTACGCTAAGAACTCTGGAAGTGGATATGTATTATTAGGATTAAACTAAAGAGGGGATTTAAAGATGCAGTACCTACAGCACCATCTCATACAGCACTGGCCCCGGATCGATACCGTCTTGTTCTGGGTCTGTGTTTTCTTCGCCCGCTGCTTGCGTTGCTTTCGTTTCTTGGGTTGAGAAGGCGCCGGGTCGTTCCCAAGCTGATCTCGTGTCAGAATTCTGCCTTGTGTAGTAGTTGTTTTCCTCTTTCGTCCCTTTGTTTTCCGCGGTGGCTGAAGCACAAGAATGTCGTGCTGGACGATCTCTTTGACCCTCAACCATGCTGTAAGCGGATTCAGCTGGGGTGTAGCTCTGTCTCTCGGTTGTTTTCTTGGACGCCTTGGTGCTTGCTTCTTGCGGCATTGTTGAAGTACACTGCAGCAAACGCAGAGAAGAAGTCGAAGGTTTGCACCAAAAACATATGTATTCTATATTTATCCAGTGTTTGAGCTCTACTGTAATCGCATTTACTCGCTTCTATTGGTCATAATGAAGACGGTCTTAAACTGCTCCGATGGCCTTAAAGTGGCCGTTTGCCTTAGTGGGTTAGTGTCCACTTCCACGCGAGATGGTGAAGAATGCAGCGGTCTTAAGAAAAACACCGACCTCGCCTTCAAGGATCGCGACCTGGATAAGCACAGCAACAGTATCAATAATCGAGACTGTCGAGTCTGGATTTCCTGAAGCCTACCTCTTCTTCCAGCGCGTTGAGCTTGTCCACTTCCGCCTCGGAGCAGTACACGTTCATGTCTTCTTTGTCTCACAGCAGCACAATCAAACGTTCATGAGAATATGGGCGAGACTAAGGAGAGCCATTTCCGGAGATTTGCGCGGGGGGCCATTTCACAAAGATAGTTCCAACGAGCTCCTCAAAATCAGCCGGTTTTAGACATATTAGGCATAAGTCAATTTTCAGGTGTGCCCGTCCCACCAAGGTGTGTCCGTTGCAGAGGACGATCTTGAAGCATTAGATGCACTCTTCCTCGAATCTTAGTAAGAACTTCTCGTCCCCAAGAACGGAGCATTAAGGTTGCTATCAGTGCACTTGTTTGGCCGTCTTCTCTCCTATAAAACGCCTCAAAAGAAAGAGCCTCACTTTCAAAAACAATTCAACAGCGGCAGCACCCCAGCTGCAGCACCCCTCCAGCAACACTCTCCCAAGTATTTGTAGCTTGACTACATGTACCCATGCATATAGTGTGATACCGGGTTATAATGGCGCCGATGATAGTTATATTCATGACCACGCGGCCTACAGATTATTTCAGTCCGTGCGAAAGTAAACAAAACGCAGCATGATTTAGAATACTGCGAACTTACAAGGTTGCTGCGCTTTGGCTGGGAGACCTTTTTTCTGCTTCGTATTCTTTTAATCCTAGACGTGCAAGGTCTGCAGGCTTATTGTCAGGCAGATAGTTTAGAAAAAAAGTTCAAATGCAGCCCTCAGTGATGCCGGTGTGGCACAATGTAAACACTCTACGTGATGTGGACGCGTGTACCAATATGTAGTTTTGTTGTATATTCTTCGGTGGCTGGTGCAATAGTTGGCGGACTGCCTGTGGAAGGGTTGGGAGTTCAGCCACAACTGCAGCTTTCGAGAAGTCTGTCATGAACGATTCTAGCAGTCGAAGGCAGGCAGATGCTGCGGCTGCGAAGCAGGCGCAGGAGATGCCCGTGGATAGCGTTTTTGCAGCACAAAAGCTTAGCACAAAATTCGAGTCAAGACGCACTGTTAGTTGATGCTAACTAATACCTGCCATCTACTGCGCCTGCTTCGCAGCCGCAGCATCTGGCAGGTAATGTGCATTCAAGAATTTTTTAGGCCGAAACGATGTTCCAGCCAGCAGTCTTGTTTACTTTACACTTCTAACTGGCTGTTCTCTGAAATTTATTTCAGAGTTAAGGGGCGATTGGAATCCCTGGCTCATACCTGACCAGCTTGATTCATTGACATCTAGCAGTATAGGCAGGTTTTGATACAAATTATCGGTTAAACTGCACTACAGTAAGACGCATACCCCGCCTAAGATGATATTTTAGGTGAATGTTACATGTGGCGGCAGGTTGTGTGGAACACCTCAAATAGCATTCGAGCGACCTGAGTCGAAATTTTGCATTAATCGATCAGAATGTAACGATAGAAAAATACAGTACGGGGGGGGGGGGCGTGGTCTTGACGCTATAGTAGCGGGCTCTATCATTGCCAAATCCCCCAGATACAGGTGCTGCAGTCCAAGTCCACCCGAGAGATTCGATACGAAGAGTTCATCAAGCACAAGGAGGTCTTAAATGCCATACAGATCGTCAAGCTGAAAGCGTGGGGCGACAAATTCGCAGATAAATCCACGTGCCATAAATAGAACTGCTGCTGAGCGCTGCAAAGTAGCAGAGAGCTCTGTCCTCCATGACTTTTGGTAAATTTGTACTACCGCAATTCGCATGTAGAGAGCTGCACCCTACCGAATTTGTTTTGTAGAGGGATACACCCTACCGGAGCTAAAATACCAGACGCCCGATTTTGCTCAAAAAACGAATCGGCACCAGACGCCCAGATGTATTTATCAAAATTACTAAACTGAGCACTCTACCTCAAGTCTCTCAAGGCCGAATCTCACCAATGCGGCTGCCGACACAGCCCAACTTATTAGCTTGTTCGCCGCCACCACCCCAACTTGAGATCGAAGTTCAGTAGAGCAAGCTTTGCGTTTGTTCCTGCCGCCGACAGAAGCACCCCCACCACCACTCTTCCCCCTTGATACTTTTCTGTAGGTAGACCCGGAAAGAACGTATCTTCAGCGAAACAAACATTGCAGTGTAGTCTCAGGTGCTTGACCATAGCCTTCTTCATTGTAGCAGTGTAAAATGGTAGGGCCCGCGTCGTTTTGCACCTGCCTTGACCTCCAGACAGGCGAGGGTGACTTGGTGGCGCCCGCGCCGTTGCAGAAATGATCGCGCGCTGAGCGGCCGAGAGTGCAAAAATTACTGGCTTGAAATTGGTGTATCCCTCAACAAGTCAAGCCCTGTCAATCTGAAGACACAATTGTGATTGGCTAATACTATCCTGTATCCCATACGTGGGTGGGCAGTGGAGCTCCGTCGAACACTAAAATGGGTGTGATGTCGTGCTCTTGCAGCAGTTTGATCTGCTGGATGCTGAAGTTCAGGTACCTTTTACAGGTGCAGTTGCAGTTTTTAGCGCTAATTCGAGGGTTGGGTCACGAAAACGGAGATTAATTCGTTGCGCACGCGTCGGTCGGTCGCCCCAGCACGAGGTCCACGGGGCAACTGTACGCGCCCTTGTAAAGCCACCCAGAGGCATCCACCCCACGGTCTTGCCCGCGAACTTGGACACGTGCACCTGGTCCGTGACGCTCTTGAGCACCGGCAGCAGCCCCGTTACGCCCATCGCTAACTCGTCCCGCAACTTCGAGTTTGAATCTGTCGCCAAAGTGACGACAGGGCTTCAACCAATGAAACGTATCTGCGACGTGTGGCGAAGCCAAGTTGAAGTGCGTGAAATTTAGCCAATCACAAGCGTCTGCGACGTGTGACGAGATGCTGCTCGTGCCTATTGCAGCAAAAGTTGCCTTTGCCCTTGTAGCCGCTCACTTCCGCTCGCACAAGCTCGGCGCAACTCGCGCAGCCTGTACCGCCGTATTCTGCGCGAGAGCCGTCAACTGGAGCCCAACACGCGCGAATTGTACCGTCGATTCGCAAGATCAGTGCAGGTGACAAACGAGAGCTTCCGATCCGACTGCCGTTTACATGAAACGCCTGATGGGTACATCCAAGATGTGTCTGCCTCTGAAGTATTCACGGGGCTGAAATTTGGCACGAAAGGCTGCTTTACGCTTGCTCTAGCCCGCTGCATGATGCAGTGCACCTCTGCGGCCATTTATATAGCTCAGGAAGCTAGGCACTCATTAGCATTTGACTGCACCTTGAGCGTCAACTGCACCACGCGGAACTGGGACATCATCGAAATGGGGTGATCCCAGTAAAGTACAATCCACAAGCTGGTGGAGAGGAGAGCAGCAAGCAATGGACGGTGCGGCGGCGTTTGTAGGCGACGGGAACTACGTGGGCGATGGCGGGGGAGCTACTGCAGCGTTTGTGGTACGGAGCGGGAGTGTGTATGTTGATAGAGATGACATTGTTTAATTGGCTTGCTTGTTGTCTGTGGATGGAGTAGGGACTTCGCGCCGTGGAAGGTGATCCGGAGCTGTCCTGGTCGATACATTATCAAGCACAAGAAGCAAGCGCCGTTCTTGGTGAACGGAGACTGCCATTGACTCCGTCCGGAAAGTATTGGCAAGTTCTGATGGCGAGGTGCCTCCTACTTTCGTTGTGAGTCCGCGATGCGTTGACCGAGTCAAAGTTGTGGTGTTCGGGGGGGGGGAGGAAGTGGCGGCGGCGTTATCACCTACTGCAAGCAAGAATCGGAGGAAGGACAAGATGGAGCGGCTGTCTACGTCCACACGCTCAACACGGCGTCGGGGCTGCGCAGAAAGCTTGGAGGCTTGCAGATCGACCACGTCCTGACAACTGAGGCTCGAAATGGTAGACATACTGTAGATAAGCATACTTTTGAGTATTACCAACAGTTATCGTTGGTTGCGGAACTCGGCGAGCGTTTGCTGAAATGTTTGCATGGACTGCTGAGCTTGGAGCACCGCCTGTTGGTCTCTGTAGTTAGCTAGCTGCGCGATTTTGCGAGAGCGATCGTTAGTCCACTTTTTATAAAGCAGACTCTGGGCATGACGAGGTGGTCGATGGTACTCAGCAGGTTGCTGGCCTATAGATGAATGTGCAATGATCCAAGAACCATCGGTCGACGCATTCCCGTCTGCTTCGAGTTGTACGCAGGGGTTTGTTCTGCTCGAGCGATCAGCTCGTTCACTAACGCAGTCGAGTCAAAGATCGTCGGCTCTTGGTTGGAGTCCATTCTATTATCTTTGGCACGATTTTCGTCGCTGAAGGATGATGCCGTTGTTGGGTCAAGGAGCTCCTGCAGCTTCGACCCTGGACTTGTTTATCGCTGCAGTAACCAGCTTCACGCGAAAGATGTAGCACTAGTGAAACTCCAAGCTGAATACGACAAAATGCACCGCGTTGCGGCGGAAGCGCGAATGCGAGCAGAAAAGTACAAGCTGGGTGAGTTCGACGAGAGCTTAAGCAACCAGATGGAACACAAACTTCCAGTACCCATGATTCCGCAATCGAGCCTCAAGGACACGAGTAAGGGAAGATCTCCCGCAAACCACGAAGCTTTTTTCAAAGCTATCTAAAGCAAGAACACCACTCTGGAGGATTCAGACCGACCAACAGAGCCTCTGCGCGAACTGGACACCCCTAAAACTTCATCGAGACCCTCGAACGTCGCTGCTTTGGAGGCTATCAAGCAGCAAATGGCGCGGGATATCCAAGATCAATATCGCTTCCACGAAGTATGGTACCGCGTTGAACGCTAAACTGTGTACTGGCATCTAACTGGTTTTCCTTGTGCGAAACTCAGGGCAGCTCTGAGGGAGATGGAGGTATGCAGTGCTAGGAAAACGCTGAAGAAGAGGTAGAATTACGACAACTGCAGCAGCTATTCGCTGCGAAATCCTCGGAGATGGCTGCAGCGGTGAACGAGTCCAGGGTCGAAGCTGCAGGAGCTCCTTGACCCAACAACGGCATCATCCTTCAGCGACGAAAATCGTGCCAAAGATAATAGAATGGACTCCAACCAAGAGCCGACGATCTTTGACTCGACTGCGTTAGTGAACGAGCTGATCGCTCGAGCAGAACAAACCCCTGCGTACAACTCGAAGCAGACGGGAATGCGTCGACCGATGGTTCTTGGATCATTGCACATTCATCTATAGGCCAGCAACCTGCTGAGTACCATCGACCACCTCGTCATGCCCAGAGTCTGCTTTATAAAAAGTGGACTAACGATCGCTCTCGCAAAATCGCGCAGCTAGCTAACTACAGAGACCAACAGGCGGTGCTCCAAGCCCAGCAGTCCATGCAAACATTTCAGCAAACGCTCGCCGAGTTCCGCAACCAACGATAACTGTTGGTAATACTCAAAAGTATGCTTATCTACAGTATGTCTACCATTTCGAGCCTCAGTTGTCAGGACGTGGTCGATCTGCAAGCCTCCAAGCTTTCTGCGCAGCCCCGACGCCGTGTTGAGCGTGTGGACGTAGACAGCCGCTCCATCTTGTCCTTCCTCCGATTCTTGCTTGCAGTAGGTGATAACGCCGCCGCCACTTCCTCCCCCCCCCCGAACACCACAACTTTGACTCGGTCAACGCATCGCGGACTCACAACGAAAGTAGGAGGCACCTCGCCATCAGAACTTGCCAATACTTTCCGGACGGAGTCAATGGCAGTCTCCGTTCACCAAGAACGGCGCTTGCTTCTTGTGCTTGATAATGTATCGACCAGGACAGCTCCGGATCACCTTCCACGGCGCGAAGTCCCTACTCCATCCACAGACAACAAGCAAGCCAATTAAACAATGTCATCTCTATCAACATACACACTCCCGCTCCGTACCACAAACGCTGCAGTAGCTCCCCCGCCATCGCCCACGTAGTTCCCGTCGCCTACAAACGCCGCCGCACCGTCCATTGCTTGCTGCTCTCCTCTCCACCAGCTTGTGGATTGTACTTTACTGGGATCACCCCATTTCGATGATGTCCCAGTTCCGCGTGGTGCAGTTGACGCAGGAGGCGCTCAAGGTGCAGTGCAAGACCGACGACCACGAGCACTGGGGGTCTCCGCTGCTCGACGTGCAGCAATGGCAGAAGAAGGTGAAGCGCAGCGCGCCACTCGCTTCTCCCAGGATGGAGCTCTCTTCTGGGCCCTCGTGGATAAAACTGAGGAGAATCCCCAAACCTCAAGTGATTCGGGGGTAGTAGCCGGTCGAGACCTGCTCTGCTGTCATTGCAAGACCCTTCGGTTCCCCTGCGTCTACCGTCGAAGCTCGGGGAGATCGAGCGAGGCTTCTCGTACCAAATCAGCTCGGTCTACACGCTCCCGGAGTTCCAGAAGCGCGGCCTTGCGGGTTTCTTCCTAACCGAAGTGGCCAAGCAGCTGGAGCAGCTGCCCCAAGCTCTCATCTCTGTGCTCTACTCGGACGTCGGACCGACATTCTACGACAAGCTCGGCTGGAAGTGCCACCCGTCCAAGTTGGCTACACTGGAGATTGACCACCCTCGCAACACCAAGGCTGTCGACAACAACAAAAGCAGCACTGAGCTCAAGACATTGGTACTGGATGATAAGCCGGACAAGTTCCTGGAAGCTGATAACGCCCGCCTGGTGGACGCGCTGGCTAATAGCGAGAAGTTTCAAGGGCGTAACGCGTTCTTGATCCTGCCGACCCGCGACTCAATTGAATGGCAGTTCGTTAACGGCGTGCACTATGCGCGGGCTGCGGGCTTCGACGAGCTGCCATCACGTTGCGGTGTCAGGATTAACGACGACGCCTTCGTGCTCTGGTGGCACAACCTGAAGGAGTCGACGCTGTACGTGGATCGGGCGCGGTTCCCCGATTCCGGTGACAATGCTGCTGAGATCATACGCGTTCTGCTGGACGCGGCGATGCAAGAAGCGCGCAAGTTCAAGCTCAAGAAGGTCGTGATCTGGGACCCGCCTTCTGGTTTGCTGCGCGACGACGTCCGCAGTCTCGTTGAGATTGAAGTGGCGGAACGCAAGCTCTCGCTGTCGAATGCCATGGTGTTTCGCCGCGGAAATGTGGACGATAGCAAGACGACAGCTCTTCCTCACTGGTTCTGCAACGAAAAGTATGCTTGGGTTTAATTAAGCCCAATGCAGTGGCCGACCGGAAGTATCGGTTCAAGTTTTGCATGATATTTGGTGCGGTTGGATGGATTCAAGGTGACCCGGAGTACTTGCATGAATTGGATGGAAAGGTATCACTTTTGGCACAGCAAATCTAGTCAATCTGAAGCAGATTTAGTTTTATGATTCCTCGTGTTGAGCTCTATTACGTGTCACTCCTGGCAAGATGGTCTAAGCTTGTCGGAAGCCTTCCGATGGTCTTCACAACAAGCGGCGGGTTCTTTGACCGGCAATGGGCTCGCTCACTCACTCGGCGAAGCTGGCGGCCATGTAGAGCGCCCAGGAGCGCGAGAGGCCGTCGTCCATCTTGGCCTTCTGCAGCACACCCAGCGCGCGCTGCTTGTCCACCATGGCACAGCTGGCGTACAGCAGCGAGAGCCACGTGTCCTCGCGCGTGACGATCGTCTCCTTGTTCTGCACCTGCTCCCACTCCTCCTTGACGAACTGCTTAGTGCGCGACGGCCGACACGGGGATCATCTGGACGCCGTGGATGCAGTGCTTCTAGGCGCTGAACCACGTGGCGTAGTCCACCTTGTTGTCGAAGAAGATGCCCGTGACCTTGTTGAGGCGGAAGTTGGTCGGGTGGATCTGGTTGGCGTCCTCGATGAGGAAGTACGCCTTGATGGCGTGAGCGTTGACTCGCGTCATGAGCTTGCCGACGGTCTCGAGCGCCGCGTTGTTGGTCGCCTTGCCGAAAATGTACATGCCGAAGGCGAAGTTGACGTCCTCCGACGTGCTCTCCTGGTCCTTGCCCTCGGCGAACGTGGTCACGCCGTGCGAGTACGAGTGGCCACGGAACCAGTCGAAAAGCGGAAGCGCGTGAAGAACTTGTCCTCCGGGTCGTAGTTGGCCACGTCGCGCACGAGCAGGTTGGCCACCGATCTCGCTCCAGGTGGTTGATGATGGCCGCCGCGTGGACCCAGTAGCCGTAGTGGAAGTGGTGGTCGTTGTACATGGTGTTGCCGAAGTCCGAGTTGAGGTCCTTGGTCTTCAAGCCCTGCGAGCTCACGATGCCGCCGTAGATCTGGTTGTACTGGAGCTTGTTGGCCCAGCTATTGGACACAAAGGGCGTCATCACGCCGCGCAGTTTGGTCAGGCACGTGTTCAGCAGGCTCTTACGACGGCCGCGTCGTTCGCGATCAAGCACAAGGAGGCGTACTTCTGGGCAGCCTTGCCGTTGAAGTAGTAGCTGCCGTCAAGCGGAATGGACCACGCGGCGTTGATGTCTTCGCGCAGGTGGTCGGGGAAGCGCTGCTGCTGAGCCACGGCAAACGCGATCTTGCGGGCCGGGTAGAAGTCTTCGCGTACGGGCTGGGTCTCCTTGATCTCCCACACAGGGTCGGCCGAGCCGCCCGGCGTCGTGAAAGCCTGTTACGCCCCGCGAGTCGTCGAGTACGCAATCATGCCGTCCACCTTGCGGGCCCCGGCGCTCGTGTCGATGGACTCGACCTGGTGCTTCATCGCGAAGTGCAGCAGACCAACGGAGCAGTCTTCCACTTGAACGCGTAGGAGCTGTCGTCGTGCAGATCCACGGTGGCGGCCTGCACGACGCAGGACTTGTGCTCAGCCAGGAGTCGTTGCCAAGTCGAACGGTGCAGTGCTCTTGAGTGCAATGTTGCCGTCAGCAGTCAGAGTGATCTCCTGCTCACTGCGACCGTCGCTCGAGAGTGCGTAGACCACCCACTTCTGGCCGGAGTTGTACGCGATCACGAACTTGGAGCCGCGCACTTGTCCACCAAGCGGCTGGCCGTTGACGCTGGAGATCGCAGCACTCGACACGAGGCGCGGGGTGAGCCCCGAGTACTTCATGGACGTGTACACCATGCCTGACACGAGGTCCGACACGAGGTGGCCGAAAACTTGACGGTCACACCTTGATCGGCCCAGTCCACGACTTGGAAGTTGGGCTTCTGCTGCATCTCGACGGCAGAAAACATGAACTCGCGGACCTGGCCGTGCGCGTAGAACTTGACGGCGCCGTTGTTTCCGGAGCTGCTGCCGCTGAAGCGGTTGCGATACGGGTAGCTCACGGACATGCCGAAGGGTGCGTTGTCGACCACCATCTGCAGCGAGTACGGGTTCGGCCAGATAGGCTGGATGGCCGCGTTCGAGTCGTGCGCGATGATGTTGCCCTACAGTTGTTGGTCGGGATGGCGCAG